CCACCCCCACTGCCAAATTACCCACCACAAACTCTTACAATATACTACTGGTCAGAGGGCAGGAGCTACTCTCTTCTATTGTTTATTTAGGTATTCCTCTCAAAGGGATGCTCTCACCATGGAGCTTCATTCACCGGCCATACCAGGCTAGGAGGCAAGTGACAACCCTTTTGGGTGGACTGAATTTGCTTTTCTGGATCTTCAGTGCTGTATGGGGATTTAAGATGACACACACCATACATTTAAAGCACATTTAAATCCCCTTACTTTCCCCCAAAGACTCTTGGGAACCGTAGCTGTGAGGAGTAAACTACAGTTGCCCCAATTTTTTGGAGAAAGGCATGCGCTTTACATGTATCATGCATACCAGGGCTTGCTGCTGCTTTTTAAAAAGGAATTTTCATGCAAGTTCTGTAGAACTTGCATCGTTTTTTATTGTCATGTGAAAAACTCCCATTAAACAGGAACTTTCTTACTGGGATGTTCCCTTCGTAGGTTTGTTTGAACACTTCTCAGCATGTTCAGCATTTTAGTCATTGTCTTGCTACTCTGAAGAGCTTTTGTTCATTAAAAATAAACAATTCTACCCATTCATAGTTCTTCCTGTGGAGTAATCCTCATCTATAGTCAAACTGTTCCATTTTGCAACTGCTGCATTAGTGATTTACATTAGATACAAGTATGTGCATCTTCCTCTGGGTTGGGGGTGAATATACTTTACTTGTACTAATCATCTATATTGGAAGCAGCAACCCAGGGCACTGGTGGAAATTCCTTCCCCAGATCCAGTTTCTAAATTGTTCCAATTAAAATAAACTATCTAGTGTTTGGCCACTCCGCCTCCCAGCACAATGCTGAGATTAAGGGCCTATACGAATTTTACCCGGAGAGCAGGGATATAACAAGTAGTCCAATGGCAAAATAATCCTGCTTGGATTATTGAAAGGCCCTCTGTGTGGGGCAGCCCTTGGCCCATAAGCTGCAGCCAGTGCCAATTTCTTTGGCTCACCTTTTAAGCTGAATAGGCTGCAAAGAACAGAGTAGCCACTTATTCAACTTTACAGAGGACAGCCCTCTATCTGAAGGGGTGTCCAGTCCACATTAGGTTTACAAGAAACACAGGAAGGGAGAGCGGGAGGGGTCTTAAATTTGCCCATCAGCATTTAGCAGCAGGATGGCAGACTTGAGTGCCACCCGCGGAGATGCATTGTATCTCTACTTAAATTATAGTAATTATTTCCAAATTTACATCTAACTTATGAACTTATTCAAATCAGTGTCATCTTTTTGATAGGCAAGTGGTTGCCCTAGGATACCATATTTCGCCTTAAAGAGCCATCTTTCACATATTCCTTACCATTCACTAAGGTCCACTGAGGAGACTCCACTTTGGATTCCAGCTTTCGAAGTTGCACCACTGAATGTTGGAAGCAGAGCCTTTTCCATGTTTGCATCCACACTGTGGAGCTCCTTGCCCAGCAAAAGCAGTCTGGCCACCACCCTGTTCTTTTTGCTGGCAAACAAAGAGCAGCAGAGTCCATTCTTTGCACCCATCTTGCAACAGATGCAGAGAGCCAGGAGCAAAGTGACTATATGCAGCAGGTGTGCTTACCTTTTATTTTTCTCCTTTGTTATCTGGAAAGAATACAAACTGCCTATGAACCCCATGTGTGCTGCCTTGGAGGAAGGAGAGGATCAGACTCCAACCATTTTTAAAGAACTGGGAGGTAGGATGCAAGATTGTTATATGTAGTTGCTCCCAGCCACGGCAGTAGCTCATTATTTCCTACTTCGCTAGTAGACTGAGAGCAGTGCTAAAGCAAAAAATACTTTTCTCCTACTGCTCCATGCACGCATTTTGTAAACCAGAAATGGTGAGATTTGTTGCAACATTTCTTAGCACATACTCCTTTTTTAAGAAAAGCATAGGTTGCTGTTCCAAATGCTTAACGTGCTAATAAAACATTGATATATAATTTAAAAACAGCTTCACTGCAGGTAAATTTGCCTGTTTGTTGGTTTAGTGAATTTGGCTCTGTACTGTGCCTACCTATTTGTTGACATTTTCTCTATAGCTTTGTTTGCCGTAGAACAACACTGGTGAAGAGACCTAAGTGAGTCCTTCTGAATCACAGAGGATGTCTCTAAAAAATAATGTATGTGTGGGACTCCATATAACAGTTACTACAGCAGTGATATTTCCTGGGTATTCTACCTCTTTCTTTCATGTATGAGTGATAGAATCCTAAAGGTACCACAATGACACCAGATGTCAGACCTGAGGTTGAAAGCAACAACATAATGACTACTGAAGTAAAATGACAAAATGGAGACAGGTGTTTTTTTAATAGAGTTTTTTTTAATGGCTCTTTCAACAGATTTCAGACTCTCATTTTCTACAACAATTCAGTGTAAAATGCCCCGAGACCATTTACAAGTGTTTGAGAACTTGGAGTTGTTTTGTTTTTTTAAAAAAAATCCAGCTTGTCGACATTGAAGAAATTGACCAGACAGGAGAAATTCAACCTAAAGACTGGAGAAACAGCCTCCCACAGAAACCCTTTGCCAAAACAATGGTCAAGACATGCCCCAATCCAAAGTGAATATTTACAATCCTCTTGGCAAGCGAAGGCATTAGTTGACTGGGCACATGGTTGCCATTTTCACACAAAACTAGGTCAGAACATAACAAGAAGGTGCAACTACCAGGAGGGCCAATTTGAATCTCTGGACTATAGCAGCATGGATCTCAGCAATAGTGGAAATGGTTTCTCTTCCAAACTGAAGAGCTAGAATTTTGGAGGTGGCATCCAGACACCATGCAAACAATGGAACTCACTACCACAAAGTATAATGATGGCCACTAATTTGGAGGCCCTTCTTATTGTGAATTTGTGAGTATTTGTGCTCATGGTGCTATCAACCAGGTAGAGGGAGCTCTGGTACAGCTTTAAAAGGGGATCAGACAGATCTAAGAATATTAACAGCTACCAGTACTGTAGGAAGGATGCTTCAGAATACCAGTGCCTGGGAACACGAGTAGGGGAGAGTTGTTGTGTCCATGTCCTGCTTGCAGACTTCCCACAAGCAGAATGTTAGGCCTTTGGTCTGATCCAGCACATCTTAGCTGGGAATCATAAAGAAACCATACGCATGAGCTGCATCCTGCCCTTAACAGCACAAACAACCCAATTGTTTCCAGAATGTTAGATTAGGTGTCCTCTTTTTAAAGAAAACAACTCTGTAACAGGAGCTGGAAAGGACTGAAGACACGTTTGATTTTTTGTTAAGAGACACATACCAAACTTTGCATGTGTACGCCCTTCATACTTGATGGGGCATGTTTTTTCTCCTTGGACATGTGCCCCTAGTACAAAATGTAAAATATCAGCTATTTTGTGCTAGCACTGATGACATATTTTGGGAATGTGGCTTTCCAGGAAGAAATGGCTGCCTCCTACACCGGAATATGGACAAAGGATAATTTACAGAGTGGTGCAATGCATAACAAGACAACCCTTTATGCAGTGGGAGTGTGCAATAAATGCCTCCCCTATTGCACAGCACAAGGAGTGCCTGATATGGATGACTGTTAAATCTACCCTGCAGTGTAATGAAAGTGGTGTGTTATTTTGATCAGGGCTTCTTTTGAGCTGAAGCCAGGAAATCAGGAAAAGAGGAGAAATTAAGAACTTGGGAGGGGAGGGAATTGCCTGCTATTCAAAGCTGTCAGAGGAGTGATGGGAAATATGGAATAGTACCACTACAGGCTAATTTCAGAGGGAAACCATATCCCTGGAATAACAGAAATGTGTAAGATCTGGAAATAAGAAGAGGGAAGTGGAGGGGTGCACACATGGACAAAAGGGAATGATAAGTGTGTGTTTGTGTGTGTTCACTACCAATGAAACTGAAGGAGCACAATCACCAGCATCACAGAGCAGTAAATATCGATGGTGGACCAAATAAGAAATGCAGAAAGAAGAGATACAAGAGCATCTGAATATGAACAAGGGGACTAGTATAAGTCGGAAAAAAATCAGGGAGCAATGTGGGACTGGGGAAGCCAGGGTTAAAGCAGAAGGACAGTGGAAAAGCACAGAAGGGAAACGGAGATACATGACTGAAGAAGTATAGAAGTTGTGTGCATGGAAGATGCCCAGAGAAAAAAGCAGGATAGAAGTGTTGAAAGCAGTAAAGGGCCTGGGGGTGGGGTATTTTGGAGGATAAAGAGAGGAAAGATGGGAGGAACCACAAGAATGTGAGAAAGATAAATGACTCAAGGGGAGTTGAGATGCTTTGTGGAAAGTGACTGATAAATGAAATGAACAACAAGAAAGACAAAAAAGAAAGGCATTTGAGGAAGGGTTGGGAATGTACTCAGGGAGGGAGCAGATGGAAGAGAAGGGCAAGGGGGAAAGACAATTCAGGACTGCCAGGGCCTCTGGATTGAAATTAAATTGAGGAGCATGAAAGCATGTGATGGGCAGAGGGAAACTGGGACGAGAACAAGGAGACAGGGAAGCACAAAGTGAATGACTGGTGAACGCTGTGAAAGAAAGAGGCATAAAAGCCATGCACTGTATGCAATGCAGAAGTTGAAGTCAAAACAACGAGAAGAAATGATCAAGTGCAAGGAAGGAGTAATGGAATTGTTGAAGGAGATGAGGAAGCACAACATGCTCTCTGAAAATGTGGAGTAAGCAAGCAAGCATCAAAGGTGAAAATGTCAACAAGCCAAAATACATTTCCCGATGAGCAATTATGGTGGCTCAGTAGGATCTGAAAAGGACAAAAACAAGGAGAGCAGAAGATTAAGTAGTTGTCAGACTCTGGAATACAACTGGGAGCAGTGATGATTGAAGAATTTGGTGGTTCTGAAATCTAAAGACAACTCAGCTTATCTGCACCAATATGCAGATTGGAATGTGGTCTGCTTTGGACTGTCTACACCTTTACCAAATTCCACAAGGTGCTCCTCTGCCTGGCTTTGCACATTATTTTTAACTGGTAATGGGCACTTGGAGTAGCTAGAAAGCATGGCTCTGGCTGTATATGTTGAAAATGGAGCAGCAAATGTCCCTGGGAGAACGGGGATGTGATGATGTGCCATCCTTTCCAGGGAGACTGTTAAGAAGGAAAAAGCATGACCTCACTCATGGACCCATTGTGCAAAACAAAAAATGGCTACCCCTATGGCAGTAGCCATGTTTTCCCTCATACCATCTCCCTGGGAGGGATAACTTCTTATTATGTACCATTGCTCCCAGGGACACTTGTAGCTCAGTTTTCAATGTGTATGGCACAAGTTGCTCCGGGTGGCTATGACCTGTTTAAAAGGAGAAAAATGAGCAAAAATCAGCCCTTGGACCACTTCATTAGATGATAGATAGATAGATAGATAGATAGATAGATAGATAGATAGATAGATGATAGATGATAGATGATAGATAGATAGATAGATAGATAGATAGATAGATAGATAGATGATAGATAGATGATAGATAGATATAGATGATAGAAAGAATTGGTGCAGATTTTTGGAAGGGTTGGGGATCCACCATATTTCATCTGGAAACTGGATGGAGCAGATTTACAGGTGTATACATGAAAGAAACACAAACCAATTAGGAATGATTCAACCTTCTAGAGAACAATGATTTTAAAGCCAAGGACCATGATTGGTGGTCAAGCAATAATGGATGGAAGGCATATGAGGTGGAAGGAAAATGCTAAATAAAAAGTTGCAAAGAGGAACAAAGGGCTGAAGAAAAGAGAAGCAGCAACAGAAAAAGAAAGATGAATGGTAAGACAAAGGAAGAAGAATAGCAGGAAGAAAAATAAGAGGGGGTGGATCCAGGACCAATTCAGGAAGATACAGAGGGAAGAATGTGATACATAACATATGAGGATTAAAATAATAAAATTGGAACATTGAAATGTGCATGTGAAATAAAAATTAGACATATACATTGCTGGGGACTACAGAGCTCTGTTCACACTGCTGAATTTCCCCCTGCAGTTGTGTGCTAAAAATGCAGCCACAATCAGAGAGTTTACATGTACAGGATCATGTGGTGAAATTTAGTGATTTGAATCAGCCCTGAGACAGCACAGTGGTGCTTATGGTGGAGATGAGGAGTGCCAATGGGACGTCATGCCAAGGAACATAAAACATTAGGGAAGTGGAAGAGGACTACAGCAACCTTTGCCAACCTGGTGCCTTCCAGGTGTTTTGGACTACAACTTCCTCCAGCCCCAGCCATGCTGGCTAGGGGGAAGATGGGAGTTGAAAACATCTAGAGGGCACCAGGTTGGCAAAGGCTGAGTGAGAGGAAGGCAAATAAAGATTAAATGATCAAACGAAAGAAGAGAAGCAACATCAAGAATGGAAGGAAAGCTCCACTGCAAACAAGGAAGTGAAAACAAAGGAAGAGGCACCTGCCGAAGCAGGGAGGGCACAATTAAAGCAAAACATTGCAAGAAAAGGCCAGCAGAAGAAATGAGGCCAAGACTCAGTGCTTGGTAATGCAACGAAAGCAAAAGGGGGGGAAAGTGTTTGAAAATCTGTGAAGGGATATTGCAAAATCCAAGGGAATGGGACCTGGTTGAAAAATGATGACAGCATATTAAAAACGACGACACGAGAGTTTACCCACATGGCATTCCACTAGACAGACATCACTGTTTAAACAGGGCACCAGTCACTTAGGCATTTATCATAAACTCAGGCCATGGATCCCTGGCATACACCTGAAAGGGGCATCAAAAGCAGTCATATCATGGCACTAGCAGTATGCAGCGTTGTGTGTATCAGTTTGTCTTGAAAACATGCCAGAAATGTGTTTAAACTGGGTATGAATAGGAAAGTTAACAGGGTAAGAGGAGAAATGCCTCTCCTTAAAAGTCTAGTCTGAAAGCTAGGATAGACTCTTGTTTCCACTTGAGGCTCTAGGAATTCTTCCCTTACATGACAGACCCCCTTGCCTTTATTCTTTTTAGGGAATGGGAATGGTTGTAACAGGAGTTTGGCCATAGCCTGACCACTTCTAAGGTGGCAACATGATAAAGTGTGAGCACCTGTTGTCACTTGACTCCCTTTTATTAGGCGAGAGGGGAGGATTTCCCTATAAAAGCCAGACAGCTGCAAGTGCCCCATGTTCTACCAGCAGGAGGCACAAAGCTTAGGGTATGGTCTGCTTGTGGTTAGCTATATTTAGGACCAGCATTCAACAGTAGTGCCATGATGAAATTCCAGGAGAAAAAACCCACCCAATGTCAGTAGGTCACCTAGATGCACACCCACCCGACTGATTAATAGTATTGTAATCTGGAAAAGTTCCTCTTCTTCTAGTTTTGTATGTGATTATTGTGCCCTTCAGTACACAGACTGGCCTTATTAGTACACCGTTCAGTGCTACGTACATGAGTAGCAGTGAGCTCCTCTCCTTGGCTGCAATTGCCTAAGGAGATTGAAAGCTTTCCTTTCCATTTTCAACAAACTGTGGTTGTTATCTCCGAACCTGGACAAACCATGCCTCGCGTTAATTATGATTTAGGGAAATAAGCCGTCTTCAAACCACAGTTACCTATCCTAGCTTGTTTCCCTACATCACAGTTAACACAAACCACAGTTCTCAGTTCAGACATAATGAGCAACATTGGTTAGCTGAAAATGAAAGTGAAAGTTTTCTGTCTCCTCCTGGCTGAACACAAGAGAGGAAGCAGGAGCCCTTGAGCCTGAGGCTCACTGCTGTTCATGGGCACAGTGCTGAACTATGGTTTAGTAGTAGCCACTTCCTGTGATCTCTGTTCGAATTGGTTTTGTTGTGCTTCAAAAATCCGGCAAACCCATTTTACTATAGCAGGATGGGAAAGGGGGCAGATAAGTGTGCATAATACAGGCATCTATGGCCCTTTCAGACTTGGGAAATTTATTGTATGTACTCGGCCCCAGACTGTTGAAGCGGCAAAGTCCTCACACAATTAATTTATTGCCTCAGTCTCATATGGGAAGCTGCTTATGTGTAAAGAGTTGTAGTGGTGATGACTTAAGAACCCTTCAACACTAGCTTGCTTTCTGCTCTAAGGCGCCATTTATTTTACCCTTACTCGCAAGAGACCAGCTGGATCAGACAAATATCCCTCTAAACCGGTGCTGTTTCCCACAGTGGCTAGCCAGATAATTATGGGATGCCCATAAGCAGGGGGTGAAGGCAACAGCTCCCCCCTCCCATCAGCAACTGGTATTCAGTGACATAGTACATCTACACATGGGCGTTCCATTATGGCTAACGGTCACTGATATAAAGATCCCCATTCACAAATTCATTTAATTGCCTTTTGAATCTAAACAGTGGCCACCAGCACACACTGGAACAGAGAATTCCATATATTAATTGTGTGTAGGGTGGAGAAGTTTTGTTTTCATCTGTGAGTTGGGCTGGGGGGGAGATGCAGAGTGAGCAAAGAGGTGACAGAACAGACAAAAAGAGTTGGCAGAGTTATCTGTGGGAAGACTGCCCCAGTTTGGGAAGAAATGGTTGCAAACCGAAAATGGCAAGCAGAGCTTTTTCAGACAGACCCCTCACCCCCTCCTCCCCTACTGACAAAGCCAGTGTCATGGGCAAATGAAAAATTATATGTAAAGTGCCAAAAAAACCATCTTCAGACAGTTGCAATTTTTTGCAGAGTTGCGGGAGAAGGAACTCAAACCTTTCACTGGATTGCTGCTCTGCTCAAAATGCCCCAAGTTGCTTCATCCTTATGGTGCTCCAGATACTCATTTATCCTTGTATATATACATCTGGAACTGCTCATGAGGAAAAGCAAGGAGGCAGTTCTGAGCAGGAAGACAGCTGAAATGGAGAGGGTTAAGCATCTCTCCTATTTATTTGACACTCAGAATTGCTGCCTCCCGAGGATCCTTTCTATAAGAATTATTTTTTTCTTACATTTATATGCCACCTTTCACCCATCATGAGACACCCCTCCCAAGGTGGCATACATACATGGGGGTTTGGAGAGGGTCACCCATCCATGCACTGACCACATCCATACCTGCTTAGTTTCAGCAAGATTGTGGCCTCAACTGCCTTCAGACCATACACAAGTGCTGTGTTGCACACAACTCAGTCCAAAGTAATTGCGTGCACACAGAGCTAGGATCCCTGCAGGAAGCATGAGAGCAAGGGATGATGGACAGAGATTTCAGCATGAGCTGAACTGGCAATAACTAATAATCCAGCTGTACATTAAGTGCTGCAGGGTTTTGCATGGGCTGAGAGCACACATGGGATGCATGGGAATGGGGAAGACCAAGATCCTCAGCTATGCACAGATTTTCTTGGAGACAGGGGGGAACTAGAAAATAGGACAGGACCAACTTAACCAGTTGTGAGCGTAGGAAACTTAGTAGTTGAATTAGCTCCTGTAAAATTTGGGTCGAGCAATTTTGACAACAGCCAGTCCCCTAGGGATGCTGATCAGGGTGGCCCAGTTTCCGCTGAGATTCCTTCAAAGCTGTGGATCAGATTGCACCCTCTGTCCACATCTCAGGATGTGCTCAGTCACAAGCCTTCCACACCAACCTTGCCAAGGTAAAGCCCAACTGCTGTGGGCATGGAGACATGTTGCTGATTGGAGCATTATTGGCAAAGGGATTATTGGCAGTTTATCTTGCCTGGGGGCAAGAGCTGCTACTTGCTAATGACAAAGTGTCTCAGGATCCATAAACTCCAATACTCAAGAAATATCCAGCACAGTTATTTACAGAGTAAGACAAACTTTTAAGAATATACAAATAATTAAAAGGCATTTTTGTCAAAATGGGGGGTGGGAATCACAATCCAAAAAGTAGAAGATTCTTTTTAAAAAAGGAGTTCCCAATGAAAATGCTAAAAAACCATCTCAAAAGGAAGTATTTACACCAGGAGTTAGCAAGCATGTTTTAACCCCCACTCCCTGCCCACCCCGTTTTACAAACTCATGCAAGGAATAGAAAGGGGATGCCCCAGAAAATCCTGCCCAGCCCTGAGCCGGACAGCTGCCAGTGTCTGCTTTGCATTTCTGCTCTATTGATGAGAATAGACCCAGCTTCTGCCCAGCTCTGCATGTGGAAGAGAGCAAGAGCAAGGCAGACCATCTCCGTTCCCCTGGCACAGTAAGGCGCTTGGTGGCGACGGCGCAGCCTAGTTGCTACAAGCTCTGCGTTTGCTAGTGGTAACTGAAACACTCACACAGTTGGATGGAGACAGAGAACAAGGCCACAGATGTGATATTTGCATGGATCTTGCTGGCCTGCCAAAAGGAAGCAGCTCAGCCACCTAGGAACAGGCTGCAGCAGTTCACAGGAATCAATGCTAAATCGGCTGTGCTGAATAAGTAACCTTCTGAGCCCACAGCCCTGAGAGTGAATTATGTGAGTCCCACATTATCGGGGGTGGAGGGCTATAATGTGCTTGTTGAAGCTCCTGCCTGACTCCATTCCTTGTGTATTTTGCCCCATTGTCTTTCATTAGCTGCACGCTATTTTGATTTTGACTTGCAGTGCTTACCAAGAGTCAGTCCTTATGTCACTTTAAATGTGCTTGCCTACAGAAGCAATAATGCCTTGGGATTCAGATCCCCTGCAATTTCGTGTCAAAGGGAATGTGGAAGGCCCTTGCACTTCTGCAAGTGAATGCCATTCAAGTAATGCAGGAACTGGCTTCAAGAGAATCCTATACCTGGCAATGTGGTGCTGGCCCTTTTTCCCCTTTGCTCTGCCAAGGCAGTGTTAGCAGCCTGTCTGTTAAGCCAAGCAAGTATATCCAGGCAATTACCAGCATACAGGTTCTTAGGCTGGGAATGTCTGGCCGCATTCCGCAGAGTTGCTTCCAGCCTCCTCCAGGCCCCTGAAATCATTTTTCACCAGCTCCATATTAGACGTCAGGGCTGATTTTCTCCCCCGAGAATGAGCTAAGTATCCCCGTGAAACACAATCAGCAGATCCACAGACTGTCATACAAGGACAGTGCCCCCGGCTTTGCACCTGCAATCTCATAATCCAATAGGTATTTTTATTTTAGCTCATCTTCTGCCTGCCTCACCTAGCTCCCTGCACCCAAATTTAGAGAATAGCAGTATTTAAAGAAACTCCTTCGGCGATCAAGGATTTAAAGTTACATTGGTTTCTCTGTCCTTTGGCCAGTGCTCAACATAGCCTGTTGCTGCATCAAAACAGGAAGCAGAGAGATGCTTTCAATGAGCCTTTGCCAGGATTTAGTTTAACATCACCAGCTAATACATTCTGAAGGTGCCCAAAGCACAGGAAAAAGTATACTAAACTGATCAATTGGCTGCAGGGAATACCAAAGCTTCTGTTATGTAGCCCTGATGTTGTTTTGCTTTTCCTGCTTTTAATGCAAACCAAACAGAGACATCTTGGAGAGCAACGCTATAGGGAGTGAAACTGTTGTGTCTCCCTTCAGCTGCAATCCTATGTGCACATCTTTGAAAGCAAGCACAAAGAACTCAGGTGGATGAAGTTGCAGGTCTCCCTGAAGCATCTCTGTTGCTAAAAATAGGAACGTGGGGTAGAATTCAATACAGCACAATGGAGGTCACTCCATCAGCACAAGCATTTATTGCCCGACAGAATGATCTCCGCTTTCCTCCCACTGTACACTGCACTGACCTTGCAGAGCAGATCTGGAGGAAGGTATGGGGGGGGGGGGGAGAAGAGCAGGGAGAAGCCCCAATGTGCTAGTGGGAGTCCTTGCACTGGCTTCCGGTGACGGAATGGGCTAGCTGAATCCGACCCATGGACCTTTAATAACAAACATAATAGACATGCACTTCAGGACAAGGAAGGCTGCAGGAGGATCAGGTGCCCATCACTTGACGAGAAAGCAAGCAGTAGTTTTCTGTAGAGTAAGAGGCACTCAAGACATGATTCCCAGAGGAATCATTCATTCCTCAAATACCATTTTATGAATGGCTTCTTGGTCTCTTTCAGCTAATGTTTTTGTAAAGAAACGATAGAGCTTACAATTGAAGAAGATTCAGTGGAAGGACCAAGGCAGATTGACTATGATGTGATAAGTGAGCTGCAAATATTTGAGACCAATCAATCAGAAATATTCCTCGTTGGGGATGGGGAGAGATTGCAAGAGCAAAACCTCTCAGTTCTAGCTCATATGAGGGCCACTCTAGTCCTTAAAGAAAGGATGTGCATGAAAGTATATGAGAAATGGGATGAGTGGTCTTAGTCAATTCTGAGGAGCAGAGGATAAGGGGCTGAGCTGGATCTCCAGGTGCCAGGGTGAAGTCACCCTGTTCTGCCCAGACCTTTGCCCCTCTCCATGCCTTGGAGAAGCAGAATAATAGTAGGCAAAAATAAGCAAATAATAGTCAGCAGAATTTATTCACTGCAAAATTCAGCTTAGCTTGGTGCAGAATTTAGGAGGGGGAAAAATTAGCACAAAGTACACCAAGCCATGTCTATGGTCTCTTCAGTTGTAAACATGTCAAAAGTTTACAAAAAATAAAATAAACAATATTTTCCCTGTTTTGCAAGTTATTTTAAATAATATGATGTCACAGACATTTACATTGCTGCATTACTAATTAGCTACATAATGAATTGAACTTCTGAATTTTATCACACATATGACAAAAACCTAAAACTCAAATTAAAAATACAAATTAAAAATTATGACTTGCAAGTTATCAATTGAAAGTCAGCCAAAATGCATGCAGGTTTCAGAAGATTTATTTTTAAAAAACATGTTGCCTGCTTGCAAAGATTTGTGGGTTTAAGAAGCTTCATGTTCATTTCAGCTTTCCAAGCCTCTTTTTTAATCTCACCGATAGAGGCGGCTGTGATAATCTTCTCTGCAGACTATAAGGACGACCTGCTGTTTTATAATAATAATAATAACAACAAAAAACTGACCCACTGAGCTTCTGATATGGATCAGTCAGGTTCTACTGCACCTCTAAAGACTATTCCTCCCGAATCCTCTCTGAAGGCTGATGTATATTTTTAAACAAAAACTAAAAGCCACATAGTGCACAGCCCTTCCATGTGATTATACCACTTCACGAGTGGGTGACGTGGCTAGTTTAAACAATTGCTCACATCATGTGTCCTGCCTATGGAAAGCAGACATGTCAGAGGTAGAGTGTGTTCTAGCTGATTATTCTGCCTGACATTCAAGTTTTCTACTGGCAGGGAGATTTGAGTTGCTTTTTCTCTTTTACATGGACAACCACTCTAACTTCTGATCCCCCAGCTGCAGTCTCAAGTGGTACAGTTCCTGAAGAGCCAGCTCTCTCTGGAAGGGTACTTACAAGGAAGCCAGGGCTTGCTCTCGCATATTGTCCTACCTTTCAGATCACATCCCTGCAGAAGTGTGAGCTACAAAGAGCTGCAATACACACAAATCTGTGCTACTGAATCTGAAGGTGGGGAGAAGCAAAACTTTCCTGCTCCCCAAATCCCTCAGCAAAGCAGAAGAGGCAATGAAAAGAGAGATCCTTTGCTGGAGCCCTGAAAGTTGTTTGTTTGAGCAGATAATGCACTACACTGGATGCTGGAGGATCCCCATTAATACCTTTTCTCTAGAACAGGGTTGACTCACAGGAACTAGCAACCATCAAAATATTTAGTAGAGCACTGGCAGCGACCATTGGAGAGTGTGACATAGGAGAAGCTCTGCCCTGAGATATGCAGCAGGCACACAACCCCCTGCCTCCCGTGGAACTTGGAATATTCTGCAGCACTGAAAAGATGGTACCTCTTCTACCCATTCACTGTCTCATCTGTATTTTCATTCTATGGGCTCTGTGCTTGTTCACCTCTGCACTCAAGCAATTTCCTCTCTGTTAAACTATTCTTACAGAGGCAAGTTAATCACAAAGGGCTTTGAGATTTCCAGTTGAAAAACAAGCAACAACAAATGACAGAAGCAACTCTCCTTAGGAATAGCTACAGATACCCACTGTGTGGGGTGCGGAGAAATGGAAACAGACTGGAATTGTAGACATGGAGGACTCAGCATACTCTTTCTGTGAACTCCTGGTGCTCAACTGCACCGCAGCAGCCAAGCACAGAGGCTGATACAAAGCAACAATTGTTCTGAGCCATGGAGATGGCATCAGAGGCCTGAAGAAGAAAAAGTCCAGGTCTACTGATGCATTTCAGTAATCATGGGAAGTTTTATGCACGTGGACAGGAAGGCAACACAGACCATGCTTGCATGGCTGTTTCCCACAGGTCAGGTGCAGGAGAACCAGTAGCGCAAAACCATATTCAGAGTGTCAGCACTCTGAATAGACCATACTGTGCACCACAGTGCAGGCTGGGTGCATGGCCCAGTGCTGGTATTGTATGCTGGGCACACCTGGGGAAAACTATCCATGCAAATATGGTTGCACAGCAAATCCAGGGCTATTCCAATCTACTTGTACACAATGGCCTGGAGCACTTATGCTATGGTGGCACTTCCTGGTGGCAATTTTGCTAGCACCCTCCCCCCGCCCTCTTTCTCTGTACACCATATTGAATGCCTCGTTCTGGGGAAATCCTATAGTACAGCTGTTCTGAGAGGAGTTCTTAAGGCTTTGAAACCAGCTGTCTAGTGTTTCCTGAAGGACTGCTGTTTTCCTTCCCCCACCAAGGCAGGGAGGGCCAAGCAGCTTTGTTGATACTGCGCTCCTTAATCCCTCACTGTGATGCCTTTTTCACAAAGGAGAGAGATGCATCTCCTCGAACTGGCAACACACACACACTCTCTTTCACACACACACACCCAATGCCATGGAAACAGCACAGACTGCTTCACGAGACTCTGGCAACGTCCAGCTCTTGTAGGTCGTGTTCCTACTGAGAGGGGGGAGGGACAGAAAGGTTTCCAGTGACCGAGAAACCACACCTCTAGCAAGACTCTCCCACTCTGTCCCCTGCCCACGTAGCACAGCCTCTGTGCTGCCGGTATCCCTGTTGAGCTAAGGTGAGACAGGAGATGCATGGTGTCACCCTGGGTATCTAAGAGCAGAGCCCCTCATCTGCAGCTGGCTCAGAAGTAGCCAATCCCAGAGGTGCCGGAGGGACTGGCAGTTCCAGTGCATAGGTTGCTCTTCCATCAGCACGGCAGCAAGCGCAGCCCTCTCACTCACTCAGAGGCCCTGCTTTCTCTTCTACCCGGCTGCCGTCAGAAGGGTGCAGCTTGCACCTGGAAGGGGAGTGGCGGACAGCTGAGCGCGACGGCCGAGCAAAACAGGAAGTCAGCGACTGGGAGCTGCAATCACAGGCAACGTCCTGCAAAGAGAGACAGAAGGAAAGGGTAGCGTGTGAAAAAGAATGGGCAACTTGAGATCTGTCACAGCGTGGCGGTTAAAGGACATGAACCTTGTTCAGATCTTGCTCCAGCAAGAAACTCCCTACATGGCCTTGTTAAGGTATACCATTATGCTCTGACCCACCCCCTGCAACAAATCCGCAATATGGAGATGATAATGCAGTAGGACTTCACAGGGATGATATGAAGATAATGTATTTGAAGCACAACGAATAGCTGAAATGCATCATTAAAAGCCTAGCAACAGGTGAAGTGCTGTTTTTAACTAAATAGTTTAGAACCAGGTTATTGCCTGCTTAGAGTTCCCCCTCAGAATGAAGTGAGGCAGGTAATTTACCAGGGAGAGGGTCTTTTTGGTAGTGGCACCCTAGTTATGGAACAGGGAGGTTTGCCTGGTGCCACTGGGATTTTTCTGGAGCAAGACATTTCTCATTACCTGTGCCTTGTGTAAGCTGGGCTGACACAGCCCAACCCTCTGGAACATGGCACACACTGGAAGAGGAGAGAGCAGGGAAGTTCCACTTGCCAAACCCGACCCCTTGTCTCTTTAAGTGCTTAGTGGTGGCCAAAGCAATATACGATGGTGGTGGTTGACATCCTTGCTTCTGGCCCTTGAAGTATGCAGTGGACAGGAGATAATGCTATGCTACATTTCAGCTCACAGAAGGGCTGAAGGCAGGGGCAGGTTAGCGGTGGAGAACCTTTTGGTTGGAACAACTGATGTAAATTATACTTTTGTACAGCAGGCTAGTTTCTATACACATGCACACCATCCTCTATCCAGGCAGCCAAAAGGGGTTATCAGAGTTCAGATACATTTTAACCATGCACAAGCACTTGGGGTGTGAAGAAGGGTCAGCAAGGGGTATATTCTGGTTCTGAGAGCCAGGTAGAGAGATTTGGTCCCCAGGCCTGAAGTCTCCCACCCCTGTTTTAAAGCAAGCAAGCACTACCTCATTGGCAATAATAGCAGAGATGATGTCTGGCTCCTTTAAGGCTCTGTCCTTGCCACCTTGGCCTGGGATGGACAACTTTGGTTCCTCGCTGCAGCTCTGCTTCAAGGGCTTTTTGTCAAGGACCTTGGGGGCGTTTTCCGACTGCTGGAGCACAACTGAGGAGGAATGCTCTGGCTTCTTGCTGCTGCTGCTGCTGCTGTTGTCTCCTCCTACCAGGTCTTTTTTCTCTGGAGCCAAAGTGGGGCTCTGAGTTCTGCCACACACATTCCGGAAAAACTCCTGCACTATCCCGTACTTAGGAGTTTCTGGCTTGGCTTTGCTTTCCTGGCATCCTGGCTTCCAGATGGACTCTGTGCTCCCAGAATGCTCCACAACATTGAACAAGCTGGACAGGCCATCATTAATGTTGCTGAGAACTGGGCTGTCTCTAGTGGTGGTGGAACGAGCCCAGGCTGAGCCATTCTGTTTAGTCTGATGGAGGTTCCACAGGCTTCGGTCCTTGGAGTTGTCCAGCTTAGAAGATGATCTTCTTTGGAGTTTCGGAGAGCCGTACTTGGGGGAGCAACAGGGCCGTTCGATCCTGGAGTGGACTTTGTCCAGAGAGGTCGAGATCTGCTTGCTGCGAACGGATATAAGGGAGGAGCTTCGTGGGGACCAGCTCTTGCTGCTGTGTATGCTGCCCCTGGGCATGTCTGTCTGCAGACCGATGCTGACAGACTGGGTAGTCTGGGTACCAACACTGGCCAATCCCACTGTCTGGCTGGAAGTGCTCTTAACCTTTCTCTCCAGGGAGCTGGAGCGGATAGCTTGCCGGACACAGTTGGTGATCTCCTTCATGTCATCGCTCATGTTGCCAGAGATCTCAAGGTCATGCAGGGAAGGCGGAAATCTTGGCACAGGGGCCACAGCTTTCTCGCTAACAGTACTGCTGTCAAGCAGCTCTCGGTGCTGCTTAGAGAAGTTGCACAGCCACCGGCTGTACATATTTTCGGAGCTGTCTGATTCTTCCTTGGGCTTGGCCATGGTGAACAGGAAGCCAGGCTCAACCATTATCTTCCCGTCTCTCTTGTGTACTAGGGGCGATTCCAACCTACGTACCACCGGTGGGCTATAATATATGCGGATCCCAGTCTTGTCGGGAGCAGTGTAGCTTCTCTGCACATGTTTCTGGGCCTGATCCTGCACAGAGAAGCTGCTTGTCTGAGTGAAGTTGCATGACGAGACATCCAGCTTCTCTGTGGTCAGGCTCTCTGGCGTGGGCTGCTCACTATTCAGATAGGCACAGTTATTGGGGGCAAACCCTGCAGGGTCCTTCAAAGTGTCAGGCAACACCTGTGTAGCTGGAGAGCCCTTTTTGCTGCGGACGTTGTCTGTGATGACGGGACTGGTTTTGCCAGGAAGATAAGGGGAACAATCAAGCAAACTTTCAAATTCAGACATTGAGGAGACTGACTTGGTCCTGGATAGAAAAGAGAAGGGAGCAAGCAAGCACATTTATTAGGGAAGGTGTCTTATTTCTACCTCCAGGCTCTGTCCTTCCTAAGTAGAAGCTTTTTCCTGGTTGGGCTATATCTACTTTCCTTCTTCATGGTTCCTACAGATGATGGCCAATTCTCCTATTATTTTCCAAGTCAAGATGACCAGGAAAGCAAGAAAAATAGGATGGAAGGCATGCCTTCAATAATGTCAGAATGGACAGAAGACAGATGGATGCCTGCAGACCTGCCTTTCAAATTTTGCATTCCAAACTTCCATTTGGACATTCTGACATTCTGACATTACAAAGGCTAATGTCTTCTGCCATTCCCCACTATCTCCATTATCCCCTAAGTTATGAGTAGGGTAAATAATGTTGGGAAATGACCCCCAGATCCATAATTGATGCATGTGCGGAAAAGGCTGTGCATTGCTAAAACAGAAGTGAGAGTAACTGTGGTGAGTTCATTGTATTCACATTAATGCCACCTAATCCTCTCTCTCTCTCTCACACACACACACACACACACACACGGGGTGTGATTCTTTGCACAGAGCTTTAGTCCTAGGCTCTTATTGCCTCTGAAAGTTGTGACTCCACACAGAGAGAGCACTTCTCTTGCAGTAGAATTGCTGTGAAGTCCCACTTCTCACTCCTGTATTGTCCAATACAGTGTGAAAAGGGAAACAACTCATTTTGCACTAAGAATCTCCTAAAAGAATCTATGGGGTACTCTTTTGATCAGGCTCACTAGGAATTTTTCCTGCATTTTACAGATTTTTTTCCCCTAAATCAGGAATGTGGAACCTGTGGCTCTCCAAATATCCCTGGGCTACAGTGCCCTTCATCCCTGACCAGTGTTCAAAACTCCCATTGTTCTGGGCACATTTTGTAACAGGGAATTTCATGTAGTGTGAACAGTTTCTGAGCTCTGGGTGCAATACTGCACTTGAGATTTCAGTTTAAAACTGAAGAGTGGTAGGAAAGGAGGACCTTTTTCTGTCTCCCCACTTCCAGCCACTCTCTGAAGACTAGAGAAGGGACTCTCATAAGAATATCAGGGGGGTGGGCAGGGGAAGTATGGCTTTGGTGTTGTTGTTTTTTGCAGTTTTCAAATGAGGCCTAGACCATGTGAAAAATGAACATAAGGTTTTAGTTGCAGTTCATTCATTTTCAGCTTTGTATTCTTGTTATAAAAAAGCACACCTAGACACTCCATTGTGGTGCCTATAACCTAGGTTTAAGGTGCCATTTAGCTCCTAGCTTTCATATCTCAGTTTCTAACACTGTCCCTGACCAGTAACCTTGCTGACTGGGGCTGATGGGCATTAGGAGGCTGACAACATCTGGGTGGCCACAAAATCCCTACCCCTGTCCTAAATAATCACCTACAGGGAACACAAGGAAGACAGGTGGGGGGAAATAATAGCATACAGTGATTAAAAGGCAATACCATTATCAAGGTAACATGTTTTGTGTTTTCAACAAGGGAGTAGAATAAAAGCATGATAAGAAATATGAGCACGCACACCATTTAGTTCTGTCCCTGAGAGATGCAATGAGGGTCAAATAGCTCCATGGTAATACGCATTTTGTGTATTTACACTTGCTGAAGGCAGAGGTATGGAGGCTGGTAAATTATACAGATAGGCTCACATGCAAACAACAAAGCAGTCTATATTTTCGGCCCCACTGTGGCATCAGGTATTGCCAGCTACCAGTTTTACACAGAAAAGGAAAACATGTGTTACCGCAGCCCATGGCCTCAATGTGTTTTTATCACCAATTGTTAAGCTTGAGTATGGCTAGAAGAGCCGGCTGACTGTTTTCCAGATGGTGAAGAGTTGAAGGAAGAAGCAAAACTTAGAAGCTGCACACATCTCACCTTTTTAAGTTGCTTCCTTTCATGTCTGTTTCGGAAACTGTTTCTTTGTCGGTGATTTTCTCATTGAGAGTCTGAAAGGAACATTAGAGAGGCCTTTTATCATCAGTAGTGCCTTGCAACATCATGGCAGGCCTGGAGAAGCTTAGCTAAAGAGGGCAGAGGGGTCAGCTTCCCAGAGGAATGTAAGGCTTCACTTTGCACTTAAGCAGCAAAAAAGGGTTCTGTGGGGATTTCCCCTAAATTTCAGAATTCAGTGTGATGTCAAGAGCTCAGTCAAAATGCTCATTGCTCTAGGTCATGGGTAGACAAACTAAGGCCCAGGGGCCGGATCCAGCCCAATCACCTTCTAAATCCAGCCCGCGGACATGAGTAGAATGTGTCCTTTTATTTAAAATGCATCTCTGGGTTATTTATGGGGCACAGGAATTCGTTCATTTTTATTTATTTTTCAAAATATAGTCTGGGCCCCCACAAGGTCTGAGGGACAGTGGACTGGCCCCCTGCTGAAAAAGTTTGCTGACCCCTGCTCTAGGTGTTACAGTTTTCATAGAAATGAACTTCAAAGTTAGCTGAAATCTGAAGTCCTATTAAGAGATCGAAAATAGCAATCATGACCAAGGCTAGGATATTTTAATGCATGCAGGCAAATTCAAGAGATGCAGCATTCCTCAGCACAAAGGTGCAGAGATGGAAATAGCTGACCCTGTTGAATTTCTGTCTGTCACACAGCCCCTCTCAGGAAACACATTCCTGATATCCTCACAATAAGTGAGGATATTAGGAATAATATTTAGTGAACCTATTTAGTGAATGCCTTGCTGAACCAGGAGGAGGTATAGCTAACCCTGTGTCCAAAGAAGAAGAAGAAGAATAGTTTGGATTTGATATCCTGCTTTATCACTACCCAAAGGAGTCTCAAAGCGGCTAACATTCTCCTTTCCCTTCCTTCCCCACAACAAACACTCTGTGAGGTGAGTGGGGCTGAGAGACTTCAGAGAAGTGTGACTAGCCCAAGGTCACCCAGCAGCTGCATGCGGAGGAGCGGAGACACGAACCCGGTTCACTAGATTACGAGACTACCGCTCTTAACCACTACACCACACAGCCAACCATAGGCATCTGGAATGCTCACAAATATCAAATGTGATCATTCCCTTATAATTTGTTCCCAGCAAAATTCTACAGCTTCCATTCACCTTTCTGGGGCAAGGTTTTAGTTCACACCCAACACATGCCATCTCTGCCTGAATTTTACAGGTTAGGACAAAGCCGTTCCTGCCCAACTTACCTCTTTCCAGCTACTGCCATGCTTCTCCATTTCAGAGTTTTTCAAAGCCCAGAGATCAGCTCCCTTCTGCAGCTGAAAAACAAAGCAATTCTAGTGCTGGGCCTGCACATAAGAGCCGATTTGTCCTCTAAGTGGCATTGCTGTGGACAATAACCTGTTTTTGTTGTTGTTCAGTTTCTAATGAGTGCACTGCAAGGTTCAGCCCCTGCAGGGACATCCCACTGGCATCACAGTACTCGGGGGATATTGGGTGTTCCTTGCAGCACCCACATATTTCTGGCAGAGACACTGTTTCAAAAAATCAATCACTAATAGAGAAACTGGAGCTTGGGGGCAGATGTGTTGCTTAGGATCCATTTTGATAGAGGGTCAGGCTGGGGATGAGTCAATGAACATTAACTGCTGGCAAAGGAATGTGTTCAATGTGCCACTGGGGGACAGACGGATCTATTCCACCATTGCAGATCACGCAAAATCTGCAGGAGCGATGATAGAGGGTCTCAAGTTTTATTTAGGTGCCTCATTTGTAGCTACTGATGTCCAAAACACACATGCATCTACAGTAACATAGCTGGTTCACAATTCATGAACCTTGATTTCTCTGCATGGTTTGGGATGGGATGTGTGGTGGTGGAGGGAAGGCGGGGCTTTTGTGCCTTTAACACCTGTGAGGCAGGCAGAAATGCAACAGGTCAAGCCTCTTCTAGTCTGGAAATTATGGGGAAAGCTTAATATGTTGACACTCTGGCTGCCAGTCAGCTTATTAATTGTGTGTGGATCCTGATTTATCCTTGGGCCCTGTACCCCATCTGCAAAAGAGGACATAAAATTGCATGTAATGCCAAGTGCAGTCAGATTATATGCAAATTTATCTTCTTATATAAGGTTGTATCGAATGTTAGTCCTACTCAGCATCACCCAGTAGAATTTTGTTGGAACCTGGAACCAGAAAATCATGTTGGCAGCTCTGCACAAGAGGGGGTTATGTGTACCCCACTAGTGTGTGTGCTGCATGCAAGCACATGCATGTATTCATGGGAACAAGGAAGTCTAGGGGATAGGCATTTGTTGGCCAGCATCATTATCCTGATTCATATTATTATTATGCTTTTATCCTGCCCTTCCTCCATGATGCTCAGAAAGCATACAGAGTTGTCCTTCTCCCAGCCACCTTGAGAAATAGGCTAGTTGATAGTGATTGGCTGGAAGTCACCCAGGGAGTTCTGTGGCTGGGCAGGGATTTAAATCCAGGACTGGACTCGACCACAACACTCTGCGTCTATACCCACACTTATGCTCATGCAGGAACATCCATTGCTGCCAGCCTATATTGATTCTGCTAAGGGTATGCACATTATATTCACACTTGCTGAAATGCTCACTGAGACTTTGGAGGGTGAGTTGCACCCGCACAATGTATTCCGTTCTCACCTGATTTATTTTGTTCTGCAGCTCCTTCACTTGCTGCTCTGCCTGCTGCTGTTCATCCTTGAATCGGTCCAGGAGCTCCAGTTTCTCCTGGTCCCAGTTCTTCTCGCTGATCTGCAGCTGCTTGGTCAGGTCCATGACGGCGCTGTACGACTCAGCCAGGAGGTGCTGGTGCTCCTCCCTCTCCCTCTTCAGAGCTGTCTTCCAGTCAGAGAGCGCTCGCTCTGTCAGGCCTTTCCCAGGCTTGGATTCCAGCTGTGTGGGACAAAGGGAGTGGCTGTGTCAAGGAACCCAATTAAATCAAAGGCCGCAGCTTCCTTGCCTTTGTCTAAGATTGGTTATGGGAGACTGTTTGGCTTGCTCTGCTGGAAAGGTGGACAGGTTCAATGGAATATATTCATGGTAGAATTACTGGTTAGGAATTGGAGAGAGATGGAGCACTTCATATCCTTTCTCCTAAGCAGCCAATATTTAACACAGTCAGAACAAGGTATGTCAAAGTAACTAAAAACTTGGTTATGTTCCCCTTTTTCCATTTGGTAAAAATCAGACTTGGGCCACATTCACACCACACAAATAAAGCACTATGATGCCACTTTAAACACTCATGGCTTCCCACAAACAATTCTGGGAACTGTAGTTTGTTAGAGGTGCTGGGAGTTGTTAGGGGACCCCTATTCCCCTCACAGAGCTACAGTTCTCAGTGTGGATTAGCAAGCAATCCCTCTTCACAGGGAACTCTGGGAACTGTATCTTTATTTTAGGGAAGTGTGGTGGGGAAGAAACAGGCAGTGGAAGAAAGGAGATCAGGGCAGCAGGCAACCATGGTGCTGGCAATCCATGGCTACGTTTGACAGCTCTGTGTAGCCAGAATCGGGAGACCTGCCAGCCCCATGATCTCCAGCTTCATCTTTGACAGCCTCCTGGACTGCACAGCTAGCTATCAATTGCAGCCAGAGCCCATGCTCTCCATCTGCAGTGACTGCACAAGTGAAGTGCAAGTCCCAATCTGACTCTGGGTAAGCCTGAAGGGGCACTGTGCTTGCCTTTAATTCAGATTGTTCTCATTCAAGCAGTGGTTCTTGCATTTCTGAGCACTGCTGCTTTAAATAATTATGTATTTCTAGCAGGAAATAGCATGAGTCCGGGACCCAATGAGAGAGCTATAAAGGTGAGCTTTTTAGATGTTGCACATCATTAGTCTGCTTGCAGGAGTATGAACTGGGCTTCAGCTCTTTTTTTGGAAGGAGTTACTTTAAGGAGAAAAATACTCAGTTTTCTCAAGGATCAGCACATAGCTGATGCAGTAACCAGCTGTCTGGAAACAGGGAGATAATGGACAAGGTTCCATAACATGAAGGAATGACTCCCATAACAAATGGAGATCAAGGCCGGAGAACTGCTGGAGAAATAGTTTGTTCCCATAACATACTAACCGTAAACTACCACAAACAGAAAACAAATTATGATATTCCCCTTTAGAATATGATAGATTAATTGCTATTGCTGATGCAGAAGAAATAGAGGATTGTGTATGGCGAGCTTAAAAAAATGTTTAAGTATAACTTTACGAAAAATACAGAAGCTTTTCTACTAGGGATAACGGACACAGGTATAGCAAGAGAAGATCAGAAAATATTCCTCTATGCCACAGGAGCAGCAAGGATCCTAACTGCTAAAAACTGGAAAAAAGAAACTGTGCCATCAAAAAAGGAATGGCAAGATAAACTGTTAAGAGTACATTGAACTGGCCAAATTAACAGGCAATTAGAGATCACACTAGACAAGAGTTTCAAAAAGCATGAGGAAAATGCAGAGTGTCCTTCACAAAACAGTGCCCTAAAATACATACCTGGACTTGTTTCGATTAATGTCTGCAGGAGACTTTGTGGATATTTAAGTTATAATTAGAAAAATCTTAATAATTATTCATAAAGGAAACAGTTTATAAGAAGTAAATAAGGAGGCCAGATACAGGATAAAGGAAGTCTTTTATTTGTTTGTCTGTATTGTTGTATGTTATGCTCACTGTATGTTATGTTATGTTAATGTTTAATGAGCGTGGATTTGTGTATTGGGGGGTTTGTGGTATGTTGCAAGTAAAATTCCAATAAAAATGAACCTCACCAGAGAAGAAATAGAGGATAGTGTTAAATCCTATTAGAGCTTCTTATTTGCTTGATGTTTTGGGAGACACTGCAAAGGCCAATTAATACTTCCAGGACTCTAGGTGTCTCTGGAAATACGTATGGTCTCTGGAGGATTTACCAGCTACAGTGCTAAATCCTACTGAAAACCTCCATGTATTAGCTCCCTCATTTATCTGTATGTAACAGTGACCATGAGGATGATTACCACACTCCTTCAATTCCACTTAAAACATTGTGCAAAAGAGACTGCTGCTTCTGAAGTGTGGTGTGTTAATAATGGCAGTAAAACATTTCTATAGTGGTAAACATCTCCATAGGTAATATGCTTTTCAGAGGTGGAAAAAAGGAGGAAGAAACATGAAATCTGAAATTATTTACGGAACAGAATAGCTCACAGCAATCGTAGAATCTTTAGATGAAACATGCTATTCAAACATGCTGATATCAATTAGGACATGGCTAGTACAAGGGTGTTCCATTTGTGGATCTAAATATATTCAATAAAAGCCACGCTGCCCAGCAAACTGCAAAAGCCACGCTGCCAGCGAACTGCAATTTCTGAAAGGGGAAGCGTGAACTATAGCAAGGAAGAGCCAGTATCAAGGGACTTCCAAAGCAGACACAGAGACAAATGCCTTGGGAATGATTGGCTCAACAGTGCAATCAATTCCCTTGTGAGCAGGCCAGGCCCCCAAATCATGGTGCTCAGCAAGTGAGCTCTTGTAATCAGCTTACAAACAGAATACCGGTGTTGTGGTCACCCAGGAGTCAGAGACTCCCCAACAGTCTTTCCTTGTATATGATGGACAGAAGGTGAGTCGGCAGCCTCTGCCAAAACTGCTTTCGGGTGTCCAGTAACAAGCTAACTGCATGCTGATGCCAAGGAAGTTGGTTACATAACTGCTGTCTGGGAGATTAGCATTAAGGGCAATGAGAATCCTTGGGGTTAACACTTTGCATACTACCCATTGTGCCAGCTGTGTGAGATCAGAGGCAAGCACTACGTACTAGGTGTGCAAGTTAAATGCATGCCCCAACAAAATAAAGGCCACAGCACTGCACTTCCAGAGAACAGCAAGCTCATTCTAGGAGCCCCCTTTCTCGGGCCCGCAGGCACTTGACAGCTCAGACAGCTGAATAGGAAATGATTATTCTAATCAGATAATAATTGGACATGTTTGCTGCATTTATGCATAGCAGCAGTTCAGTGCAGATGCCATTCTGGGTGAGTAAACAGATAATGGGCATCTGGGGGAATCCATGGAAGATCTAATAATGGCATCTCCAGAGCAAAGTACCAGCAAGTGGGTTATTACTTGAGACTTCATTATTATAACCCTAATGTGTCTTCATGCAGCTGCTGAAATAAGGCTGTAATAAAAAGAAAGTAGCATCAATTTACAAGGGCTCAACCATGAGCTGCCACCTCATTGTATAAGTAAGTGGAGAGATTATGACAATGAAGGACTAATGCGTCAGCAGCTCTATTCCTTATCCCCACCCCCCACTTGCCTGTTCAACGGCAGAACAAGGGTGCAGAGGAGCCACACTAGGAACAAGAAATGCTCCTGGATTTGCAGAATGAGTGTATGCAGTGATATCTTGGTTTTAGCACTACTTTTATCTTCTAATGCTATGCTGGAAAACCTGTGGCTCTCCTGGTGTTGTGCCTGGACAATGGAAAGGAATGGTAGTAGCTGAAATCCAACATCTGGAGGGCCATACATTCCCCATCTCTGTTCTAAGGACTCACTTTTTCTGCCCTAGAATAATACCATGCTTGGCACAGGGAGTCAGCTGCGCACACTGTATAACCTGAGCTCCTGGTGAAAGCGCATCCTGTCCAATGCCAGTGCAAGACGAAGTGTTCCACATAGCTCTGTTGCAGGGGGATAGCATTCCCAAGGCTCTGCATCAGTTCCATTTGGACATGCCCTAGAAAACTATTCTAGTAGGTGCAGTATCTGTTTTATCACAACATTTATCAATTGTCTGGGCACACTGAATTTGTTTCTGGTAACTGCAGCTTGTTTGCCAACTTATAGTCCATTAACAAACTTTGCTATCTGGGTGAAAAGCCAAATACATGAGTAGAGGGCTCAGGCGGTACAGTCTAAACACTTTTATGTGCTTGCAAAAATTACCTCCCCCAACTCCCTGCCCAAATTCCTCAAACTACTCAATGTGTAGCATGTGAATTGCTAGCAACCTAAAAAGCAGGAATCTCCCAGAAGCAGAAGCTGACATGTGTTCACTACATATAGGGCTACCTGTGGAAGAAGTGGGTCAGATTTGTTAGGCTGGGGGAAAACTGGGAGCCCGCTGCCTGCTCTCCTCCAATACAATAAGCATCTATGTCTGTTTTCTTCTCTGAGGAAGTTGTGGCAGGTCTCCACTTGTTGCATTTGTTCGGCTAATACTTCAAATAGATAAGCTGTGCATTATCTCTGATCTGTGTGAACAGTTATTCATGCAAACCATCAACTCGTGAGTAATTTTTTGTGGTTGCATTTTTTGTCAGTGTACATTTTTAATGCTGTGCTTTAGATTGTTGTAAGCCAGCCTGAGGGTGAATTATGATTAGTAATACTAGTACCCCAGAAAGTTCCCAATCAGAGACTGAACAAGACCTTCAATTAGTCAGCCATGCTGGTGAGAAGGAAATCCCAGCTCATGGCAGCTCCTCCTTCTATGTCATGATGAGAGAGTAAGGTTCTTTGGTATTAGTGCACAAATAAGAATGGATTCAGCCTCAGTTTAACAACTGCATCTCATTCCATGTTGTGGGGGGGCATGGAATCAGTTTGGCAATGAAAATATACAAATCTATAATTTTAATAGGTGTGTGCGTGTGTGATATTTTGGCAAGGCCTGCCCATCAAGGCCTATAGAATTCACTCTTGTTTGGATTGTTCACTGCTGTTCCATGAGCCTTACACTTCCTTAGTGATGTAAGTCAAATGTGCTTCCTAGGCTTTGTTGGAAGGGGTGAATCACACCTATAGTAATATCTCCTGCTCAGGAGCAGGTTCCACTTCTCTCAATGCTGCAAACCACAAGTTTCTCACAGTTCAGCTTGACCAGAGCAATCAGTATTGATCCCTACAACCCTGAACAAGGACAAAATTTCTATCAATTGCCTCTGAACAAACCTATTTCCCCAAAGATCCTGGGTAAGGTACACATAAGGCTGTGTATCTTTCCTTTCATCTCAGTCAAAGCAGGGAGGGAGGGGAATCAATAAAATGCATGAATAAAGCCAGCTTCAATTGCTGCCATTAAGATTCTGGTGATGTTAGTAATAGAAGCTAAAATAGAAACAGCTTAAGAGCTGCACCCAAATTCTTCATGTGGTGCTGATCACTTGGCTGGCTAGAAGATGAGTATTTATAGACAAGAGCGATTGATGCTGGCAGGCAAGGTGGGGCCAAGCATGTGCCTTCCTTAAGGGGAAAGCCCACAAAGCAGATATTACGACGACAATGGAATGGCCCTTTGCCCACCTAAGAAGACAGATCATCAATAATAAGCCGAGTCATCACCAGGAATCTTGTGAGATCAATTATCTTGATGCAAGCTTTGAGTGTATTCCAAAAGGGAACTAAAAGTGGAATTGGTTGGTTTGAAGACAAGGAACAAACCCAGCATGGCTATCCTTTTAACCCAGTGGTTCCACCACTTTCTTCCCCATGAACCATTTGAAAAATGCTGAGAGCCTTAATGATTATTCTGCCTTCTATAGCAATTGCGATGCACAGTGCTAAATGCTATATGATATTTAATTGTATTTTTGTTGCTTCTTTTTATATATTGAATTCAAATTGTAATGCAATAAAATGCAATATAAGAAATGAAAGAAGCAATGAATATACAATTAAAAATCTGTATGAATTATCATTTATTTATTCAATTTATATCTCCTCCTTCCTCCCAAAGGAGCCAGGCCAACAATATTTAATGCAATGGATGTGTTGTCTCTTGTCTTCAACCGCAAATCCATAGACCTAAGTGAAACTCACAGACCACTGGTGGTTTGCAGGCCACAGTTCGGACTGCAGCCTCTGGAATGAGTTTCAAGACTGGCAACAAAACAAAACAAAAAAAATTCCTTCCAGTAGTTGGTCTTTAAGGTGCTACTGGAAAGACTGGCAGTGTGTTTTGTAGATTATGGTCCCCCCCCCCAATCTTGAAGCAGAGGATGTGTCATTCTTCGACCATTTCAAAGTAAGCAGCACACTAAGATAACCATATAGCACCACTATGCCGAAGTGTTGCAGGGAGGGAGATGGAGTGTCTTCTGTTGGAGCATTTCCTTTCCACATTTTATGTTAACCTGAACGATCCACTTAATCTGTGTTCACAGAAAGCAGAGTATCCTACTCTTTTGACTTCACACTTCACTTCTCACCTGACTATTTTGCATCAGCAGTATTCTTAAATTTGGGCTGCTTTTATCCTCCAGTTCCCTTGGAATCCACAGTAAGACAGAAGAGCTGTTTGAAGGAAGAGTCACTCCAAAACCAGCTACAGAAGAGGATTCACACTTGCTCCAGCTGACTAAGAGCAACAAAACTAGACAGTGTGTGGGGTTTTTTTGGGGGGGGGGACACAAAGGCTCAATGGAACTCCCAGGTCCATCCAGACAGGACACATGAGTTGCTTTTTTCCTTAAGATTGGGCCTAGCTCAGACTTGTCAGAGTTTGTTCAGAAATTACCGTAAGCATTTGAACATTCTTTTCAATAGAATTTTGGAACTCTCTCTTTAAAAACAATAGCACAGGATAGCTACATAAGGACAAAAGCAAACAGGGGCTTTGGAAAAAGGAACCAGAGGATCGCATCCAATGGTTAAATTTAGGCTTTGCTGGAAGACTTTAGGAGATTACCAAGGCCCAAACTCAACAACAGGTTGTTATTTAAAAAAAAAAAAATCAAGGTTTTGTTTCCCCCTTTGCAGAAAGAGTCATGGGATTTCTCTCACATTCTACTAGAAAGGTACCAGATTTAAAGCAGGAGAGAACAGAATGGCACTGTTCTTATGAGGACAGAGTCCTTGCCAATACTGTTCTGCATCTATGGGTAAAAAACTGGAAGTGTTATATGCACAGCAAGATGTGAATTTGTGCTTGGGCTGAGTTATTTCTGGGTGACGGAAGTGGAAGGGGAGATGACTCAACCCTTCTCCAAGACTGATGATGTTACTGTTGATCTTAGCCACAAAACCAGCCAGGAGGCAGACACAGTCTTCTCACTTCCATCCTTCAAGCTCCCCCAAGCTCAACACACATGTTATTTAGAAAGCTGCTGAATAAGCAACTCGAAGCAATAATGCTGGGCATGCACCTACATGAATGTGAATACACTTGAGACAGAAGATGTGCTCTGTGATGTCAGGGTGACAGATCTCCAGACGTCAACTCCAGACATCAACTCCAAGGCACATTAAAGAAAAAGGTTCTTCGATGTGGAGAGGTAGCTGTCATACTATCAAAATATTGATGTGTTGGTGTTTTCCTATCCCAGAGGGGAAATCTTATCCAGCTTAAGGACACGGAGTTCAGGAACAACCAGAACACAAGAAAGCAGAAATAGAGCAGCGAAAGTGCAGAAGAGAAGGAGAGAGACTCCTGCCTCCTCCCTTCATTCTTACTGACAGACCACTGGACCTCTGGTAGCAAAGAGGGGGCATAAGAAATAGTTCTAAGGGCCCTAGAGCAATGCCCTTGTACACTTTTCTTCTGAAGAGTAATTCTTATAACAACTAGAGTGGACAGCTAGCAATGCCACATGCTCCCAGAGTAGTTATATGACCCTTAACCTGCCTAACAGATCTGGGTTTAAAAGACAAACACACTGGGGATAGTGGCATTACTAGGGCCCAACTCACATAAGCCAAAGCTGCTATACTGTATATGTTGTTGCCAAACTGCCCCAAGGGTGCAATTATGTGCTGAATGCAATGTGCGACCCAGCGCATACCTGGATACAAATGCAACTTCCAGTATCTGTTGTCATGACAACTTGAAAAAGTGCCACCAAGATCATGAAAAATAGCTAGCAGCGCAGTGCTGTTCATGCGCTACATCTGCCATGCGGTTATAGGAATGTGCACACATGAGGACAATACAGGTTACACTCTATGGACAACCCCTAGGCTGTATGGAACAGACCACTGTGTTAACAGGAGGTAGGGAGGGAAGAGGACAAAGGATGCCCAGATGCTGCCGTGCTGCTTGTGAGCAGACAGACTCTTCTTAGTTGATGCGGCGGCAGCCTAGGAAAGCCACAGGATCTGCTAAGGAAACCCTCCTCATGAGTCAGCTGTATGTGTAGAGGCATAATGCCAGAGGCAAGGTTTGCAGCTGCTGCTTTGTACATATCTGGAGGCTCCCTCGTGCATCAACCAAGAAATGAGAACACATGGAAGGAAAGCCCGTGGGCTGGCTTACAGCTTCCTCTGAAGGGAGCTCTTGGTCAGAAGCACTGTCACTCAGCCATTTCTGCAGCAGGCTCCCACACAGCTACAGTCTGGAAGCTTGAGTTTTATTACCTCTTTGCAAGAACACACTCTAGGGCAGAGTGCCAGATTATGTTAGTCCTGGCTGGCAAAAAGGCTTTTCTTGCATAATACACTAAAAGAAAAAATATATAAATACAAAAGCAGCAGAACACCCTGATCCATTTCTGGACCCATCTCATGTACAATGGAGTATGAAAATGGTTCATAATTGGGACTCTGAAACAATGGATCTTTTTTGTTAGCCAAGCCCAATTCCAAATCACAAGCTGTGGGACCCATTCCAACTTTATCAAAACATGCCCTGAGTTTGGGTATTCCACTTCACCATAAAGCATCACTTATTTCACTCCCGATGGCCCCAAAATCATCAGAAATGACTGAAGATCTCAATACAGTGACAGACCTCTCAGGCAACAGGCTGATCTAAACATAATGCCAAATGATGGCATAATTGGGCTTATGTGCTTCCTCATCCATTTATGAACCCCTGATGGCCCCCATCACACTTGGTCAGACATGCCATTGTTTCCTGTTACATACGAATCGGCAAACTATGGTTTGCACTTGCCCACCCCTTGCCAAACCTAAATGAAGCTCATGATTTGAAGCATGCAAGGTAACACAGAGAATGTGAGCGGCTGCCTGTTTAGAGTGAAGATAAACTTTATGCAGTTTGAGAGAGTAAAAATGTGATGCTTGGATATCTGACCTGTGCGATGAGACACTTGAGCTCAGTTCTCTCCATTTCCCAGGTCGCCTTAGCCTTGGCAAACTGTTGCTGCAGCTCGTTCATGCCTCTTCTCTCTTCACGCAACTCTGTGCACAGCTCCTTCAAGGTCACCTTCATGTCTGATAGGGTCTTGATATACTCATTGGCCTGCTAGAAATAGAAAAAATGCATAATAAAGTATGACTGCCGTACACACACCACGTTCTAGACAACGGCCATCACTTTTCAGAATCCTTATGCAGTCAAAAAGAGAGGGGGGTTTGGAGGAGAAGCATGCACTCTGAACTAAAGGAAGGGAGAATAATAGAATCATAGAGCTGGAAGGAACACCAAGGGTCATCTAGTCTAACCCCCTGCAAGACAGCCCGTGTGTGTTCATGTGTAATAGGGTGCTGGACTAAGACTGGAGAGACCCAAGTTCAAATCCACACTCAACATTCTGAAAGGCCAATCACAATCTCTCTGCCCAACCTGTTTGGCAGGATTGCTATAAAAAAGCAGTGGGAGGGGGCCTGCTATGCTTAGCTCCTTGGGGGAAGGGTCAGATATAAATGATAGTGAAGTGAAAGTAATAAATGCAATAAGGAAGCTCATTAACTGATTTTTTAAAAAACAAAACCTGAATTTAAACTATGCCACTTTTCTCAGAGTTGGGAGTTCATGGGAAAAGCAGTTTAGTCTGAATAATCAGTTTAGGGTGAGCAAAAGCAGACATCTGTGCCCTGCCCAGCCTCAAAGTACTTCTCTGTGGTTTGTGGGGATTGGTTAAAAAGCAGGAGAAATAAGCAGCCCAGGTTAAACTGAGCTGAGTAACAAAGTAGTTACTGAATCAGCGGCCAGAAAAATGCTGGTGAAGAACATCTTCTGTGGATAGGTGATCTAATGACTATCTAAGACTTTTTGCACACATGGGCATTGGCAGGAATTTTTTCTGGGAGGGAGTGGGGCAAACGTAAATACTCCAAACAAACAAAACACAGTGAACATCAGAGAACAGTTCTAGTATTTATGGTGGCTGAAGAGTGTGGCACGGTCTGGATAGACAAGCCTTCTGAGCAACTTGTGCTCCAGCTTTACCCCTCCGTTGGTTCTCAGTGAGTACTACTGCTGTCCATCTAAGGGTTCTTTCCCTTCACCCATTAATTAATTGCACTGCTGCTACAATCAGCTTCACAGAATGAGCCCCTCTTTGTTAGGGAGTGCACCACTTGTTGCCCTCATCCCTCCTCCTCTGGGGTGGAGAGAATGTGCAGTGTACAAGAGAGGGGAAATTATCCTGGAAGGTAAAAAAAAAAAAAGTTGCACAAACCCCTCCCCTTCTTTGGTGCTCCATGCAAAACCAAAGGATTACTTAGGGTCTAAGTCTCAGGAACAGACATAGGAAGCTGCCTTCTATGCAGGCCTTTGGGGAGCATCCAATAAAGTCGCTGTGCGAGGGGAATGATTTGCACAACAGAACTTCCCCTCCTTCTCTTCTCCCCAAGCACCACCTCCCAGATCTGCACAGGTGGTTTTCCAAATCTGGGTGGGAAGAGCAGAGGGACAGGAACTTCTGTTACACAGACAGAAGTTGTTCCACCAGCACAGCTTGGTTGGACTCAGCCTATACTATTTGTCCTCCTATCCCAGAACTGTCTTCTGTGACTGGCAGAATTCCAGGGTCTGGGGAAGGGAGAGGTCTTTTGCACCTCTTGCTACCTGATCCTTTTAATGGGAGATGCCACGGATCTTCAGCTGCCACAGAGGTACAGGCCTAAGTGCTCTTTGTGGGGAACTTTCTTCACTGCATCCCAAGCAGGAAGAAAATTCCCCCAGCAGGGCACCTCATCACATCTCACCGAGTCCTGAGACCAGGTATCTCTGATACACATCTTGTTATCTGCTTGCTGCTGGGGGTTCAGCTCCTCCTCTTCAATCAGCAGGTACAGTTCTTTCATGCTGTTCACCTGGAAAGCACAGGGCAGGGAAAGTAGTGAGTGGAAGTCTTCAGTGGCTGCATCCTAGTGCTTTGTGCATAGAAAAGGATCCAACAGTAGTAGCCTGACCTACTGGATCCTTTAAACAGAGGTAACAGGTTTAGGATGATTAACAGTGAGATAAAGGATACAGACTGTAACAAGATAGGAATGTGCACCCTCGAGAGATGCTTCTGTGTCACATTATCACAGTGACTTTCAACAGCATTCTCCTCTTTGTGTTTATGTCCCAGGTACATTTTCTGTACATTTGTGCCTAGCAGAATCATCTGTTGGATTCCATGCTAGCCTAGTTTACCAAGAGGTTGTTGTTCCCAAGTCTTCAATCACTAAGTTTATGAAAAGATGCCTTGCGAGTCACTTCTCTTAGAGCAATTTAATCTGTGACACTAAAAAGTGCATTTATGCCTCTCTTGTGATTCTCCGTATCACTTATAAATGTAGTTCATGCAGCAGAGAAGAAACTGAACACACACACAGATCAATGTAGAGACTTCATATTTCTGTGAAGAACCTCACTTTTTCATGAAGAATCTAAAACAAAGTCCATTAAAGCCTCATGTGTGAAACTGCCTTGTATTTCAGCAGCCGACCTTCACCAAGCTGAACTTTATTCACAGTTGAGAAAGCAGCTTACATGCTAAAGGCGAGATAGCAGTTCTTGAGAAGGTCATATGGAAGACAGGAAACAACTGATAAATTGGAGCTGATATGAGCCTCATTCTTGGCAAGTTTTGATAGAGCCCAAAAGAGAAGCCAGGATACCACCCACTGCTATCTAGGAGACATAATATGTAGTCTAAGAGTGGCTAACAGATGTTGTTGGACTCTACCTCCCCTAAGGCCCAGCAGGAGCCAATGGTCAAAGAATTTGGGAGTTATAATACCACAATATCTGGAAGGACACAAATTAGCCACCTGTGATGTAGTTCATCCACACTATTATTGCAGCCTCATTCACTCTGTTTCTCTCCCTTCTGTTTGTGATACAGCAAAAATACATGGGTTGTGGCTATCTATGCAATTTATTGAAGTGTAGAAAAACAAACTCAAAGCAATTAATAGAAGCAAAAACACATGATTTAAAAGATCAGAATTATCTGCTTTAATGTCAGTAGTATACTTTTGACTAGTCAGCAGAGAAGCTCATGCTCAAAGCCTGCCATACCTCTAAGAAGTCATTGCCCTCATTTTGTAGGATCTTTCCCTGCCTCCAATGCTTCAGAAACCACTTGAGTTTCATGAAAAGGAGCAAGAAATTTTGCTTGAACTGCTGGGATTCCTGCACCAGAAGGTTCTTCTCCTGGCTCCAGAACTTTTGCTCCAGCCTCCTCTGAAGATTCAGGCTCTGCAGCTCAAATTCTCGCCTCAAGAGGGCCTTCTGGTGATCTTCCTTCAGCTGACAGAGGATGGGAAGAGATGGAAAGCAGGTTTGTTATAGGGAGTGAAGTAACAGGGTGAGTACACCAAAATAATCAAGGATTGCTGAGCAAAGAAACTCCCAAGTCTGGAGACACAGGCATTCACATCCTTTATAAAAGAATTTTCACATCCACACAAGTTCACTTTAGCTGCTCAGTTTTGGGGCTATGACTAGTTTTAGGGGGGGGGATGAGTATTTTGGAAAGGACCAGGATGGTAGCAGACAGAGAAAGGATAGAAGCACCATTGGTTTATGAGCACATGTCAGGGGTTACATCAATGAAAAACCACAAAGATGGCTTCTGGGCTAGGACATAGCCATCATCATCCCCATCTCAAACTTCCAACTCAGTAAATGTCTTGAGTTTTCCACTGACACTTCACATGCTTCCCAAAATTTCTGCAGCTAGAAATCCCAGAATTCTGGGGTTGTTACTTTTGTGTTTATCAACTGTATTTCCCAGGCAGCTGCAATTCATGCCTGTTGCCTAAATACAAAACTCGCAGGTAAAATACACCCAGAGGCCTGACTAATAACTCCCGTGAATGGCCTTTTGCCACAATATTTTACTGGCACTTGTTGCTGTGGCTGATGCATCTGGGCAAATAGCTAAGTTCCAGACATGACTAGAGGATTCTAGTGATTGCCATTCATCACTCAGAACAAAGTGAGCAAGAGAACAAGAAGAACCTTGCTGAATCAGGTTGAAGGTCCATCTAGTCCAGCACTCTATTTTCACTGTGGCTAAACAGATGCCTATGGGAAGCAGAACCTCAGGACAACAGCACTCTCTCCACCTGGGATCCCCAGCAACAGAAGTATTTAGCCTCCAAGAGTGGAAGCAGAACACAGACTTCATGCCTAGTAACCATTAATAACTCAATATTCCATGGATTTCTCTAGTAGTATTCTAAGCTCATCCAAATTGACAGCCATCACTATAACCCACAGAAGCAAATTCCATGATTTAACTATGTGGGCTGTGCAAAGAAGTACTTTCTTTTTTCTGTTCTGAATCTTCCAACATCCAGCTTCCAAGTTTGAGAGAGATTTGAGAGACAGAAGAGGTCTCACAAAGAATGGCTATCTTTATATGGAAGCTAGAGAACCCATAGCTGACTCCATCAATTCTGCTTGGCTGCTAGAGGACTGCCGAGTTCAGGTTTGTTTTCAGAGCATGCTTGTTATGGATAATGTACTCTCAGCATGTTGAGGGGTCATATGGAAGCATTTGCCTCTTTCCTGGCAGCCAAACAAGGTAGCAGCTGCTTTGTGCTTTCATACAATGCTGCACTAGGATGTGCCTGAAGTAATGGGAGGGATTAAGCCCTGTGCCTTTAGTCCCTCCTGTACTCTTGTTGCATGTCTCATCTTCCAGCCTGGAGAGTGGCTCCAGGCAAATCTCACTGACCTGGCAGATTTTCTGGGTGAAGTTCTCTGCTTCCTCTTTCCTCAGTTGCCTCTCCTGGGAGAGCTGTTCTTGTAGGCCCCTCAAGCTCTCATTAGCCTCTGAAAGGACCAGTTGCAATTCTTTGATCTGCGGGGAATAGTTTAATCAAAGCCAACAACAGTCAGGTAGGTCATCCTTGCAAAGACTAATCTCTCCATGTCTTTTTTTAAAAAAATACTTTTATTAAAGGCCCATGGAAGAACAGCCAACTTCTTGCAGGGAGTGACCTTGGCCTGTATGTAACATCCTGTTGTCATGGTGAGGAACCTCTGATCTGTAGGTCAAATTAGGCCCATCAGGCTATTTCCCCAGTCTCCACCTATGTCCACCTGTTTCTCACTTGTCATGTGACATTGGGATAGGTAACACAAGATTTGTATATGGGCCATGCCATTCTTTTTCCCACCCACATGAAATGTGTTGATCTAGTATTTCTGCAGTCAACTTATTCTCCCCAGAGTCTCCAGCCTTCTTGCCTCCCTTTGGGAACATAATCACATACTTTGACACCTACCTCAGACACATAGGAGTCCTTCTCCTCTGGTTGATATGACTTGTAGCTCCGGTCAAGTTCCATGTTGGGATCCACATCCATGGTGGCGGTGCTGTTGCTGCTGCTACTGCGGTAGAGATCAGAGGTCCTGCTCTCCGTGATGTCCCAGTCGGGGGGCTCCCTAAAGTCAGACTGCTGCATGCATGGGCAAGTTAATGAGAACAAACCAAAAGAGCAGAAAAGAAAAGAAAAAACAAACAAAACAATGGGTCTCAGGAACAATAAGAGCTACAAGACAACAAAAAGGATGAAGAGGAGGAGGAACTTCACTACCGTGGCAGAAGACAAAGTGGAAAACAAAAGGAGACAGAAAATGAGCAGACACGTGGGCTGGATTGTTTGGGGAGGGGGGAAAAGAGAGAGAGGGAAAAAATGTGCAAACACCAGTTATGGTGCCATGCAGTGCCTGGGGTGGGGCTAGTTGAGGGAGGAAGGGAGGGGGGGCCAGGAGCATGCACAAAAATAGAACTCTGAAAAACTGGAGTGTGCTTCAGGAGGTTGCAACCCCTCCCCTGATCCCCTTCCCTTTCTTAGGTCTTACCTTAGATCAGGAGCAGCCATATGGAATGGCAGCAGCATGTACCTGGCCTCCTGGCAACAGCAGCCGTACCGTTTACCAGAAGGGATGAACTGGAAGGGAGCCTGGTACTACATGGGCACATTGGTGGCACCAATGTGGTGCTGTTGCCGATGCAGCCCATACAATGCCACTACCTGCAAGCAGCAGCAATTCAATTGCCAGGAGGCCAGGTGTGCAGTGATGCTCCACTAGCTGCTGTTGTCCTAGACCAGTCTTCTCCAACTTAGTGTCCCCCAGATGATGATGGACTGCAGGTGGTACTAAATAATTCTTCAGCAGCAGCTGTAATGTGGTTTCCACTACTCAAAGCAATCTTCCTCCTGCCTCATGCACACTCCACTAAACCAGAGTCCTACCTTGTCACTAGCCACAGTTCCATGCAGTGAGCCAGTTGTTAGTTGTCATTTCAGAAAAGAGAGGCAGAAAAGGGAAGTTACATTAACAGGCCCAGGTTCTGATTTGTTAAAGCAGGAGAAAACAGCATGGGCAAATAAAGCAATAATCACTGCCAGGGAGTCACTGTTGACATCTCAGGAAAAGCCTCACCTGGAATTCAGAGCCATGAGCTTTCTGCAGAGCCTCTTTTGTGGAATCCTGGGAGCTGGCGCTTGGCAAGGAGTCCTTCTGGTCTTTCAGGTGGTCTCCAATGTAGTCCACCTTCCTCATGAAGGTGTTTAGCTCCTGCTGAAGGACCCCAAGCCTCATCAAAATGGCACTGATCAGCTTAGAGTCAGTCATACTCTCATTATCCATGGCTTCGCTCAGCACCAGCTCTGCACAGTCATTGTCCATGCAGAGCTTGAGACTGGAGGTGAAGCCATTGGCATCAGAGATCAGGACATCAATGGCTTTGCTGACAAGCGCAGCCTGGTCCCTGATGTCAAGGAGGCTCTCAAAGTCCTTGGACTTGAGAAGCCTGCAGGGGCTGCTTTCATGCGACTTGCTAAAGCCATTGCCAGGTGCTCTCTCCTTGGCATCATTCTCTCCCCCAATGGGCACCTCTCTCCAAAGCGACGTTGGGATGCACTGCGCAGAGTCACCAGCCTCAGCATCCGTCTCCAGCATGGGCCGAGTGGTCTGGCAGGAAGCAAGGTCACAGCGCTGCAAGTTGGAGAGCAGGACACGGTTCTCATACTGGAGCTTCTTAACCTTGCCACTTAGCTCACTGATCTGGACCTTGGCCGTGGCCAGTTCTTCTTGGGAGGTCTCACTAATCACTGAGCAGCTGTCCTCAGACAGAGTGATGTCCAGGTCATGGTCTGACTTGTACTTATTGAGCTCATTCATGAGGAGCTTGTTCTGCTCCTCCAACTCCATCAGCGAGCGCCTCAGCAGTTCTGCCTCCTCCTCCACAAACTGCAAGTGCCGCCTAAGCTCCACCACACTGTCCCCAGAGTCCCCGCAGTTTGTCATGGAGAAGGCAAACCGGATGTCTTGCCCTAAGAGTTCTTTGTCTCCTTGGCCCCTCATGTCTTCCATCTCTGCCCTCAGCCCTCGGTTCTCAACCTCAAGCTCTACTATCCTCCGGCTCAAGATGTTGGCTTCTTCCTCTACAAGCTTCAGGTGGACTTTCAGCTCTGCTTCTCTGGAATGAGGGGAGTCAGCCAGTTCCTCTATGGAGAGGGAGCTCTCCAGGTCCCCATACAAGGATCTGTACTTCGTCAGCTCCTCCTTCATACTGTCGTTCTCTTTGGCTAACTTGGTCAGTTTCTTGCACATCAGAGCAGATTCCTCCTTAGCGAAATGCAGTTGACACTTGAGGTCTGCGCTGTCCTCCTAGCATAAAAGAAAGGTACAAACGGTGCAAGCATTACTAAAAATGACACTTTGGGCAGGGTGCTCTGTGCAAAACAGATTATCCCTGAGGCTAACCTTTATTATGGCATGATGGTTAAAACTAACAATCCACATACTTGAACTTTGTAACATGCATGTCACATAGGCAAGCCAAGATGGGGCAAAATCTGCTGGCCATTTTGTTTGTTTCCGGTGATTAACCTCTTTATCTCAATGATCCTGGAATATTGTCTTGCTTCCCTTTTGCTTGAGTGGAGGAAGTGGAGGAAAGTTTGGTATACCTTATGCTAGGGGTAGCCTATCTGTTGCCTGGCAGGTGTAGCTGGACTACAATTCCCATCATCCTTGACCGCTGGTTGTGCTAGCTAGGGCTGAAGGGAATTGGACGCCAAGAACATCAGGAGGGCACCATGTTGGCTAGCCCTGCCCAATACGGAATCAGTTCCTTTTACACGAGTACACTGTGGTATCAGTTTTACTACCTTTGAAATATACATGTGAGCCTCCCTACACACACTGCAGATTGATTGTTTCCAGATATAATACAAGATTTGACACTCCTGCTTTAGCTAGTCTGGTCCCTTCTGCCCCCAAAGTAGCCCCCTCAGGAACTTTCCGACACAAGTGGCAACAGTTTATAGAAAATAGTGTTTCCCTTGCCATTCCAGTCCTCAAGGGCAGAATTGTCACACTTTTCAATTTCTAGAAACTTGTCCTTTGGGCTACATTCTGTAGAATATAAACAGAATGAACAAATCTAGTAATAGAACAGCTTTGCCCTGGGTCCACAGTGCTGCACATCTCTAAATTAGCTTAAACTCTGACACACAAAGACTGCATTTTTAGGCTGTACAATTTACATCTATAATCTGTGATACTATTTGCAAGAAAAAATAAAATAAGGCTTATTTTGTCTTTGGATTAAAAGTGCCAGCTCAAACACAAGGGGTTTTTTATTGGTATGGCTTTGAACAAAGAAAGCCTTGTCACAAAACTCCTTAAGTATTTGGTCTTTCCTGAAGTTCAATAACTGAGGGGAGATGAGAGGGGAATAAGATTGGGCCCCCAACTCCAAAACTGGGGTGGAGAAGACTTGTCACTCCCCAAGTAGATCACCCTGCCTCATATTACTATCATGTGAAAATGCATATGCTGTGTACTCTCATGTGTGTTTGCTCAGAACAAAGCCCCACTATGCTCAGCTGAACTTATTGCTAGTTTGGAGTTTGGGGCTACAATTCTAAACAGATCCTTAAAAGAGCCCAGCTGTCTAAGACGAACACTGGCCAAAGGAACACCACTCCCACCAGGAGAAGAGAGATTCGTCTCTCCCATAATTTTGAAAATTTGAATCTTATACAGATAAAGATTCTGTGCTTAACCCAGAATGAAGAGGGTAGTTTGCTAGGGAAGGAGAGACAGTCAGTCTGACGGACCAATCTGAATAATTTTAAACATATACTTTTGATATATTCGCCAACAAAAATACTAAAATAAATTCACCCCCACCCCAAATTAAAGCACTGATCAGCTATTAAAAGCAACAATTGTATCCATACAAAGAGAAATACTATAAATGAGCCTCAAATGCTCCAGAATCACCCACATTCTGGATAATCTATTTTGCATATGTGATATTTCCAGAGCTGTACTACTAATTTTTAATGGACTATATTGGGTTCTGAGGGGGTGAAGTACAGGACTTTGAGAACCAGAGATGATCTGAAGCAGCTACAATGTATCCTTTTCCATAACATTATATTATCTCCTGTCCCCAAACTGCAAATGAACTGATCCATCACTGTCTACACACACAGTAGTTTCTTCCTACCCCCTTCTTAATTTTCCTTTCCTTAAGATTTCAGTAATTGCCCCAAGAGTCACTCTAAATATGATGTGTGTGATCTGTGATTGGATCTCCCAATGCCTTTTTGTTTTCCTAAAATAAGCCACAGGGGATTATTTGGATTTGGACAATTGCACTTGGGGTGGGGGAATTGAGAGTTTAAAACTTTGCCCATCAACTGTTTCCCCAAGGGGAATCCTTCCTCTCCAAGTTGCAATTAGCTGCAAAGAAAAAGAAAAATCAGGTAGCTCTATGCACCCTTCAGAACTAACAACCAGTATGGCGAAGGTTCAGTAGCAGAAAGGTTTAGTCATGCTCCAGGTTTCAAGAGAAATAAAAACTTATAAGGAGTCAACTTGCAATTGGTTACTGATTTAGCAAACAGAAGAGAGCTGATCAAATTCCAAAGTATCTAATTCTCCATCTATCCTAGCGTCATCTTCAAGTCTCCCACCAAATGCTTATGTTCACATGATCACAAAAAAAAACCATGATGCATTTAGTACTAAGTGGCATGGTCAGGACAGCCTGTTCAATACATTTTTTAAATGTATGTTTGAATCAACTCTAAGATTATGTAGGACCGCTGGGGGGTGGGGGGGTTGAAGTGGGTAAGGTTAAGGAAACAGAACCTTTTTGACCTTTCTAGGTCTTACGAGGGCTTGCTCCTAAATAAACCCCGCAGATGAAACCAAGGCCTAGTTTTTGTATGTGTGAATTCACCTCGAAGGCAGAGCAACGTGCTGAAACAGAGGAAAACATTTCCCTTTTGAAAGGCCCCGTGACATGGCAGGGAAGGAGGAAGTCAGCTTTTACAGTTGGGAGTGTGTTTTGGCTCATTCCAAAACAGAGCCAAATAACTGTGACTAAAAGCACATTGCTAACGGTTGAATCTGTTCTCTTCCCTGCAAAAGACAAGGGCAGAGAGAAATCCCCGCTCTGCTCTCACAGATCTCCCAATGCCTCCCCTCCCCCGCCCCACAAACCCCGCCCTCCAAACCGTTAGGAAATACTATACAGTTTGGAGACTTATTTGCTCAAATTCCCTGTGGAACTCTGAGGATTTGAATTTTCCCCTCAAGGAATATTACCTCATAAGAAATGACTGTTTGGTTATAAAATTAGTTCATTTCCTGTTTCCATAGCTCACTGAGGGAGGGGGAAAAACTGACAAATTCCTCCCCAGAAAAGAAACTCTCCACCAGGCACTCAATGCCTCCTTTCCAGATGGCCAATACAGTGTGAACATTCAGTTGCAACGGTCAGGCCTGACATTGCATCAGCCACAGTTGAAAAAGGCAGCTATTATTAACTCTCTAGAATGTCCTGCATTGTTGTCCTTGCGCATGCAAAAAATTCACTGCACCAGATCCAGGCACAGAAAAATCTCACATGAAAGAGAAGAAAAGACAGTGACTGTTTATCCTTTGACGCAAGCAAGTGAGCATTCATGCTGCTTTGGAATTCTAAGCACAGCCTCCACACCAAGGTTCAATGGAAACCCTGCACAGCAAAGTTAACTTACAAAACGCAATGCTTTTGGAGCCTGGTTTTTTCAAATGCTTGAACATCCCTCAAGGGGTTCAAATGTCAAGAAGACTTCAGGCTGAGGCCATATGGATGTGGGCATTGTAGCTCTAGTGCTCCCAGTTTGGAGATTTAATACCAAATCAAGGAGCCTGCCCGGCAACGATGAATTTTACTACTACTAGCAGTACTAGTAGTAGTATTAGCCTCCTTCGGCCATACAGATTTGAAGAGATGAGCTGCTATCTGTTTACCGGGATCTATTTACCCCACCCTTTGTGAACATTTATCTCAAGGAAGTTTACAACAGAATTTAAAATCCAAAACAAACAACATGAAAGATATCCTATAAAACTCAGGAGTCCAAAAAGAAGGTATGAGTCAAATGGACAGGGGGACAGGGTACCCTTACAAAGCACAAATTTAATCCCAGTCCCAGTCCCATTCTCAACTCTCCTCTCCCTATATATCCATATCCTCAACAATACTTCTTCATGCCTCCCATCCCTTTCCCTCGTTTTTGGATTTAAAGAAACACGGACCACGTGCAATTTGGCAAACTGCATAAAGCATTTAAATTGAGGCGATTTTTGAACACTGGCCATATTTGTGTTATTTATTCAAAGAACATTTTTTTGGACATAGAATTCCAAGCACAGCTACACAGAAAGTTTAGCTACAATATTTTATTTGTGCTCAACAACTGCTAATCTATCAGCCTGGAGCCACCAATTAAACATATGACCACCAAGCATTTGCACAGAGAAGGTAGATGGACCTTGTAATTTTCTGCTAAGGTTCTTTTTCATTTCACACAAATCATATATTTATATGCAGCTAGATGTTTTGCCAAAAAAGGCGGTTGTGCAGAGCATGCTTGCAAAAGTGTGTGTGTGTGTGTACATAATAGTCTTATTCATATATTTAAGTGCAGCAGACCAATATAGGTGAACAGGAAGTCTAAGAACTCTCAGGAAGAGTGAGGAGACTGGGAATTCAAACAGACTCAGATTACAGTGTATAAACTTTCTCCTTGGACGCTACATCCTCCCTACAGATAATTATTCTCTTCGCCTGATAATAGAAGTGTCAGAAAAGGGAAAGCGCTGATGCAACACGGACTAGATCGTCTTTCCAGATGTTCTGATAGTACGTCTTATAACTGTACAAATGGAAGATCTTCAAAAGGACTGCTTCAAACACTGTAAATTCCCATATGGAAAGCACTTCATATGCGTTGCCTAATATTTAAGCTCTGCTAAAATACCATTAATAAAACTCACCCATCAACCCACATCCAGTTCAGAACTCTTCCTAGGGTGTGGTGGAGGCTAATGCTTGTGACCCTATCCTTTCATCAACATTTATGGTATATAAAGCTGCAGTGTATATTACAGGACAAACCTTGGTCTTAGTTACACCAGCATTTGAGGGAGACATGCCTGTAATTATTTCTGTGAAGATGATAAGTCTACCACTACTTCAATCTATCATGTGCTATAAGCATGCATAGGTGCTATTGTTCCTTAAATGTATCTGGACAAAAGCATGAATATACTTGCCAGATCACTGCTAACAGCAGAACCATGCGCATTTCCCCCAGCTATCTGTGTAACAAATGGTTGTATTCTGAATACAATTTTAATTTTGGTTTCAATTGGGGCTTCGAGAGGGGCAGAAATTCAATTTAAACATTACCAATGCAACGCAGTAGGCTGAAATTCATTCCACCTTTGTTTTATTCTGTCGCCATGCTATTTCCTTTGCATCACTGCATCTTTCTAATGCCACCCCCTGGCATTATTACAGGGGATTTGGATAATGTATTCCAGATATTCCACTGCTACTCAGGGTCAACCAACACAATGCAGAGCATCTAACCACTAGAATCCAAGAATTGAATGCAAAGGCAATTTTAAAATAAAAATAAAAATTGCCAGCCTGTTCTTCTACCTGATTAAAATGTGGTTAGTACCTTTCCGTATAAAAAGTAATAATTGCACAAGCACAGAAACAAAAATGCCACTGGTGCACAGTTTCAACATCAGCTTTTATCCTTTGCATCATGGTACCAACTGCACTTGAGGGCATATAGGATAACCTTTCACTTTTCAGAAAGTAAAAATATTTATTTGCCAGAGCATGTTGCAACTGGTAAATATGCCGAAGCAGGTGGACATGCCGGAACATTTGAAAATTCGAAGGCCTGTTGCCTATTCCTCTTACAGCACACACCTCTGCTTGAACTCTAACAGCTAAAAGTGGCATCTTTTGCAAGAGAAACAAGGCAGGGCTCTCTGCTTTGCTTGCCTACAAAATAAAAAATAAAAGATCCCAAACTTGCGCTGCATACCAGCACAGTGGGTCCACTACCCAGGCCTCTATGATGAGAAAATAATTAGGGGTAATGGTCAGTTCTATCCCCTCCTTATCTTGAAAAAAGATCTTTGCACAGCTTTCTTGCTAGGGGGAATAGGGCTGGCTCCCTATGCCAGGTCATGTACACAATAAGCTGAACATACCTAGTCCAGGGAGATACATTCCAGCAGCTGGTGTTAAGACAACTAAGGCAAATACGTTTGCTAAGGCAAACACATTCCACATATCTGTTCCTCAGGAATTGAAGACCAGCCCAAATGTACATTTTGAAGTAGCCAGATGCTAAGTCAGCTCACTGTTGCACATAGACCATTACCTACTGGTCTATTACTCAGACTAGCTGTGGCTCTCCAGGTTATGATCATTCTCAGCCCTGCTAGCACAGTTCCTTTTCACTGGAGGTGCCAGGGATGGAACTTGGGATGCTCTTTATGCAAAGTGTGTTGCTCTACCAGTGAGCTGCAGGTTCTCCCTTGATGGGGTAAGAGAAAGAGAATGTCGTCCGCAGGTACAAGGTGAAGCAACTACACGAGCGCCCAGCAGTTCAGCCCTTATGGCAAGCGCATTTTGCAAGCTGCGTTGCAGGAAGATGTTAGGTACCTGGACAGATGACTTCTTGTCTGTCTTCCCAAGAGAACGTGATCCTCTTTTCTTCAGAGAATTCTGAAACAGAAGAGGTAATGGAAAGGATAGTTATTTACTGAATTTATTTCCAGCAAAGTTCCACAATACGTTGCACACATTGATCAAAATTATTTTTACGTGATGAATCTGTTAAAGAGGCAATGCGTTTAAGTAATATGAGCCCTTCATTAATGAAATATTGTGAATTATATGGATATTTAACAAAAGTATTCATTTTCATAACTTCATCACTCTTTCTATATCCTACCATATTGTCTTTTATTACAACCCATATATTTCTTTGTTCTTCAGAACTTATCAAAACCATACCAAGCAATATATTATAGAAAGAGTCTGCATTTCCACAAATTTATTCTATTTTAGGCCCATTTCTCTTGAGCTTGTATAGTATTTTGACATTAAAGCCAACTCCTAAATTTTGTTTATCCAGTCACCAGCTTGGAGCACTTTTAGGGGCTTCCTTTTTTATTTAGCATTCTACATTTTTACTCCCAGAATCATATACGAGTTTAATTCTGTATGTTTTGTATTTATTGAATGACACATATAATTTAGCAACAAAATTAATGACGCTGTATTATATTGTAATGTCTCAGATATTAACGTTGTAATAATCTTTAAGCACACACAAAAATGAAATTAAAAAAACCTAGAAAACGAGCTGAGCGCTATTAACAGGCACAAGTCCTTAACATATTCCTCCTCCTTTTCTATCACTGTGAGTAAGGGCATTATCCTTCACCCACAAACTTCTGTAGAAACTGACATGGCTGGAGTCCATAACAGTCTGAGATTCCACTTCCCCACCCTTAAAAAAAGAGAGAATATTTCTGCCCAACAGCAATAGTATGCATAATACAGTGGTACTTTGGTTTTTGAACATCTCCATTGATGAACATTTCGGTTTTGAACGCACCTCGGAAGTCAAACATGCCACGTGGCTTCCGCTGAGTGTGAGATCCTGGGGCCTAGCTGTTGGCTGTTGATTTCTCGGTTTTCGAAAGTTTCAGAACTCGGTCTTCAAGAATGGATTATGTTCGAAAACCAAGGTACCACTGTAGTACTTAACTTTTAAAAAGGAATCTGACAAGACATCTCCTAAGACTGGCAAGGTTTCACTAAACTTTGACCATTTCATGAGAACCCAAGCAGGAGGAGTGAAGGAAATAAGTACGAGTGAAGCTGAGAAGGCTTTTCTTGAGCTTGCCACTTTCAATGGAGCCCAGTGAGGGTGGGCCAGTGAAGAAAATGGCCATGCGACAGAAAAGAATGGTAATGCAGTGTATACCTCATTATTAACAATCACCAGTCACATCGCAACAGCATTTAATCTGAATCTAGTTTTAAGGAAGTTTGGACTGGCATCTGGAGTAGGCAAGCATCGCACACTTTCTGCATAAACTGGAGTAGGTGTGGACCACAGGGCTGGACCATAATGGTAGAAGTGGAACAATTGCACCAGAGCCTATGTCTGTCGCAAGGGGCCATCTTGCCTCCATTTACTCACTGCCATTGCACCCACTGTCTGCCTCGCCACCTCTGTCTGTTGTGGTATACAAATATGTATATTAAAACTAACAAATGATTTTAATTCAGCATGGGTTTTGGGGTTTTTTAAGTTCCTGCACTCCTTTGGGGGATGGGGAGGGACCCTGTCTGAAAACTGCACCTGGGTCTTCCCCATCACCTTAATCCAACCTTGGTTGTTATGCTTTAAATGTCACAACTTGTATTCAGGTGTGCTATGCATTAATAGAAGCCAGCGGATGAGGGTGGGTGGGATATTCCCGAGTGATAATTAAAGCTCTTGGAAATCCATGCGTGACTTTTGTTGAAAACTGTCATTTTGATCTGGGCAGGCACAATTCCTGTGCGCAAAGCCAGAAGAGCAGCATACACAAATGACTCTAGTTTTCCTGACAAAATTGGAAAATAGAAGCCACTTCGTATGGGAATTGGCACATCTCTATAGCTAAGTGGTGTCGTCTGACATTTGGAGAGCAGCAGAAACACACCCTACATACAAACACAAAGGAAAGGGAAGCACTGTAGAGAATAAGGTGCCATATCTGAGATATCAAAGGTTGAGATTTCTTTATAAAGGGCTAGAAAGCTTTGAAGATTCTTGATCATATAGGCACAGCCTGGCTATTCATAGTCAAGACATGTGCTTTCAAGTTGGCGAAAAGAATAGCAGCGCATGGTCCATTGAAAAAAAAAAAGATTACATCTTAATCACCTTGGCTGAAGCTTTACAGAAAAACCACCTTTGCAAGGCTCAGACAAAAAGCAAGCAGTTGATTATAACCTTATATTTCCAAGTCACTATGCTCCCCACAAACTAGGGTCTCCTCCCTTCTATTTGCACGTTAAACCACTTTTTTTGGGGGGGGGTGTTGAATTAATGCCCCAGTAGCCTAGTAATCTGTAGTACCTGCCTTATTCGCCAGGTAGTTAACAAACCAGATTAAGTCTTCCAACAAAACAAGAGATAGAAGTATTCAGAGATTCTATTCACTCTCCCAGTAGAACACTGAATAGGGGAGACGACAATGAAGCCATCAATTTGGAACCCAACTGTTGTGTTCGCATTATGTTGTATAGGAATTGGTAACATCCAGTGATGAAAGCTATCATTATACTGTTCCAAGCAAGTAGCAGGGGGCACACTGGGTTGTTGAATGTTCAGAATTCCTCTGATTATCTGATGCTGGGAATAAACAACGGCAGAGCTGCTTGCCTTCATACCCTGCCTTTGTCTGATTCAGCAAGATAACATGTATGTTCAGATTCCAAAGGAACAAGGATCAAGCAATTTTAAAGTGGCTTTAGAAATTGGCTGTGCTTGATTCAGAACTTCCTCTCCCTCCTCCTTTTGTCAGGAGCTGCTAGGATCTGTAGGGTGGCCGCCCCATATGGTGAACCTCTGGACTCAGAGGTTGCAGCCTTTTTGGCAAAGAACCAGAGAGAAATTGCACATTCCTTCGGTTGTTCTTCAGTCCTGACTTCTGACTTGCTCTATGTCTGTGGCTTCTTACTTGACTTGCCCTCACACTGGGGCCCACAGCCCAGCCCTGGCATCCTCTTAACAGATGACAGCACAATCCTAACCAGGTCTACTCAAAAATAAGCCTTAATGGGGTTGCAGTCAAGTAAGTGGGTTCAGTGCATCAGCCTATCTGCCACCCTTTGTGTCAGAGAAGAAGCAGCCCACGTGGTCACAGGAGATACCACATTTGTCTTGGGAGTGTGGAGACCTGGGCTTAAATTCCAGCTCAGCCAGGGATTCATTGGGCAGAAAGAGGTACGCTGCCATCACTAAGCCTCATTCCCCAACCAGCAAGTCTGAAATAAAACACAAATTTGCTGTGGTTTTGCTTAGGATTATAATGTCATGGAGAATAGGGCTATCAATGACTGCTAGCCACAATGGCTATCTTCTAACTCTGCGTCTCTGGTATGTCTCTGGATGCCAAGTCACTGGGAATCGTAACAATTCAAAACACTGCAAGATCATTCCTTCTTGCAGGTTTTTCACGGGCACCTGGTTAACCCCTGTGAGAACAGGATGCTAGACTAGATAGGTCATTGGCCTGATCCAGCACATCTCTCCTTATAAGACATCTGATGCCCTCAAATTTATTCTATTACTAGGTAAGACTATAGCTTTTTTCTGGGCCAGCTTTTGAAGCTCCAAATCTTGTAAATACTTGCCAATAAAAGGTTTCTCCTTGCCTAATTTATGTCTCTCTTCTGCCTCCTAACAAGCACCTCCTCACTCTGCAGGAGAGACGGAATGCAGCCAGTGCTATTAAAAAGCTCGCTATAATGAAAAGCTGGTCTGCCGCTCCCACCCTCTAATACTCCCACAAAGCGTTCAGTAAACCAAGCAGGGAGATACGCATCAATAAAAGTCATAACACAGGTCAGAATGGTGCCCCTTGGACGCCATTCTGTCCACATATAGTGAGCCAAAAATATTCAAAAGCTGGTGCTACAGCTCCATAGCCAAGAAATGCAGCTGTGAAATGTGAGCCGCTGCTTGTGCCAACGCTCAGAGATCCAGGCCACTCCTATTAAGGACAAACCTATTCTTCAAAAGCCACAGCTTCTCTCAGTGGCTTGGCACACCCTAGACAGCAAGCTGGAGGTCCAAGGGAGGGATATGGAGACAGCAGCACCCGAATGGTGCTGCTTGATCCCATCTCCAGTAGAAATCCAACACATTTGCACCACAGCAGTAAATGATCCCTGATGAGGTTGGTGAGCCAGCCATTCCAGCTCCCACCCTTCCACACAAGCCAAAAAAAGAACAAGCCAGTGATGAATTTCACCAAGGCCAAGAACACACACCCAGCAAGCTGCCTGTGAGATAGAGGCTAGCTGGCTCTGTTTGCTGGACAGACAGCTTTGGGGGGTCCCTTCTGCAGCAGTCTAGAATTCCTTGTAGTGTTTTAGCACTTCCAGCCTCCACAGACTATGGCAACCCATTCTGGTGGTCTCCACTCAGAGCTACAGGTATTCTGTAATTATGCATATATTTCTGTAAACTGCCTTGAGTGTTTGTTTGTTTTTTTACAACCAGCGGTGTATAAATTATATGAAATAAGTAATAAATAAATGCATGTTTTTATGGTTTATTTATTGGACAAAGGACCCAGCATTCTGAATACCGAGCTCTTAAAAGCTGAAGAGTGTACGAATAATGCACAGGGTAGTAGAAGAAGGGGTCAGAGGATTTCCAGTGGTCAGGGGGGGGCGTGTCTTTAATGACCTTCACCATGATTACCAAAAGCACAATGATGCAAACAAGTGATCATGTGCAAGGATGCAATTTTTAAAAAATAAAAAAAGCAAGAGAGAAATGTGCAAAACGCAAAACAAATTGCAGAATGAAGTTGGGGTTTTTTTGCACAGGACATGGCTCACTATGAGTCAGGAGTCCAATGTTTGTTTTATCACAGAATATGTACAAGTGCAGAGCAAATAGCTGGTTTTCCACAATGAGTGAGAGGTGT